CGCAGGTCAACCGGGCAGCGTGACTACGACGCGACGCGACGCGACGCGCACGCGCGTATACGAGTTGCAGCCAGCACCTATGCATTGATGTGGCTGTGCGGTCAGTATCCCCGCCGTAGTCTGCTCATCATCTGTGACTGCATGTAGTATACATATGACACCATCTGTGATTTGCATGATACCTTGGTGTCGAACGGTCCGTTGGGCTAAACGTGCGCCATGCGGTGGGCATGTGGTCATCGGCCGGCCGATCGTCTGGTCCCCAGCTGCACCTCCCAGTCCGCTGGGGCGTGGGACCAAAATGGCGGTGTAGACAATACGTCAACCTTTGTGCAGGGTCAACATCATTTCAACTTACTTTTTCCCGAGATTGACCTGAATCGGAGTAAAACCTTGAGTCCCGACAGCAGCCCCGGTTTTACCGATGGCAGCCGAAAGCCCATAGCAAGTACCACGAATAGGGGTGGCATATGACCTGCAGGTTCTTAGACAACCACGATGAGGAAACGATCGAGCATCTTACTCAGCGCTCACTAAACCGAGCATATTTCCGGGTCCCTATGCAAAACGTGTTAGTGAAGGTTGAGGAATATCTTGGATCATCGTACCAGATTGCCCGAAGATTGCATGAGGCCATACCTGCATGTCAACATCGTTCGTTCAGTTTACCCTGCATCGCACCAAGGACTCGAGGACATACAGGATGATGAACAACGGTATGATTCCCGTAATTTTGTCATAGGCCAAACCGATGATCAGTCCTGCGCGACGGAACGGCCGTAAATGACAAGCATTCGGAAGATCCTGCTGGACCTTTCCCTCACCAATGACGAGATAACCTGAGAAGCCGAGCATCATCTTAACCGAAAGAATAAGAAAATGCACGATTCCACATGGGTTGGTGCTTACCGTGTTTCGTCGCCCAAGTCGATTGCAAAGCCAGGCTCCAACGAAAACCCCGGGAAGAGCGAGGGCTCCGAGAAGCAGCTGCCATTCCGCGGTTCGTTTGATGTCACTATTGTGAACGATGCTGGAGATGATGGTTCCTATAAAAAATCAGCGAAAGCTCGAATACTCGGTGAACTCGCGGTAAATGATCTTCTCAACGGAAGTGATAAGACCGAGAAAAATATGCTCACCAGAGAAAACGCCGTTGGGAAATGTCACAAAGTCGTAGAGAAACCTATTGCGCGGGCGGGATATTTGGTCGGCTATATATGCTGGCACAAATCGGAACGATCTCCATACCATGCGCCACACGTTCCGCAGAGCTCACGCCAGTACCTCTTTATTACTAGCCCGTAAGGCACTCGGCCTGCAGATCCCCATTCAGCAAATGCGAGACGACTGTGGCGGTAAGATCATTTCGGACTCACGCTTAATGGCGCCGTGTTTGTACAGTTTCGTGCTTAGCATTCTCAGACGGAAAAAGAGCACCGACAACGGCAACAGAATTCCGATCCCGAAACATACACGCCACACGGTGCTCAGATGATCCTCGCCAGCCGCAGACAGAACGATCAGGAAGACGGAAACGGCCAACGGTCCGCCGAAACTCAAAACGAAGTTCGTTACCATGATGAAGACGGGGCCACGGTTCTTGACCATTTTCTCGTTCGCTGCCTCGGATGCGCTGGTACTTGAAGCTGGATATTCTCCGCCGACGCCGATACCAGTGATACCACGAGAGAACGTCAGGAACCAAAAGAGACCCTGCACACTGCCATGCGCTCCGTGCGCAGCGGTGCCTAGGGTTGCGCCCAGTACAATCAACAGGGTCGTCGCCACTAGCGCGACTTTGCGGCCAATACGGTCACAGACGAGACCGACAATGACTTGCCCTGGGAAGCCAACTCAGATAGTGCGTCATGGAGCTCATAGGCAGTGCCCTGCTCACCGATGATGGCTCCTACAAGGAGCGAGTTGGAGACACGCGTAGAGACGTCGGCCGTGTACTCTGTAGGGTACAATTTCTTGAAAACAACCTGTGCATCCGCGCATCTGAGTACTGTAACACTTGATGTCAGCTTGGGGGAGCCCGCTCACATTTGTCATTGTCATCAAATTGTTCTGGTCTATAGTCCATTATCAGCAGAAGTTATCACCGGAATGACCAACGATCATACACCCATCGCTGAGTCAAACAAGTCATTAAACATCAATACCAGAGGAAAGGACTATCGTCACCTAATGAGACCGAATGCGGCGGCGGCTATGGTGAAGTACGCGCTCAGAGTCTCCCTCCTGGTCTGCACGTGTGCGTCCTGTTGCAACTCCGAGGCATGTTGCTCCGCCGAGACAATTCTTTCTCCTCCTTGTTTCTGGCTCAGAGCAGGTTCCCCAGATGCGGACATGACGAGTGATCGGGACTGTCCCTAGTCGAAGCCGGAGACGGCTGCGGGGGAGCTGGGCAGGAGACGAGAAGCACGGCGTCGACTACATATTCTTATACGACGCTCGGGGCAGCGATAGAGACAGAAGCAGGATCATGCACGTGTGCAGTAGCATTGGCTGAGTACATCTGATTCGCATGGTTTGACTTATCCGGCCTGCTCTGATGGACGGTCTGCAAGGCCGACGCAGCGGTGACGCCGAGCGATACTCGTGAGTTTCAGAAGCGACGGAGTATGCATGACCAGAATGCCAGCAACCATCCATCGAGTATACGTAGGACATGGACATGAGCAAACCTCGCAGAGTCGCCAGAGGCTTCCCTTGACGGAGATGGGGCTCACACGAACTCTGCCATCACAGCCTGATACCCGTCCCCTCATCTCATGTCAGGGACAATTATAGGGGCGGATGCTCTCCAACGGCGCCTGGCGCAGGTCTACCACTGCTACTCAGATCGAAAGAGAGGTACAGGAATGAACAGCTCCATCACTTATTGTACCGTTCGAGGGGGGGGAGGCTCTTGGTGCACATTTGATCGGAGCGTTAGCGCGAACGTGATATGGCAATCCCGTTGAGTAGAGGCTACAGGTGAGGGGTCTGTCAATCTTGGTCCTTGAGTCGTGCCGGAGGCAAAGCAATGATATGCACGGATTCACGTTGAGGCGCAGAGAGTACTCTACTGGTGGGAGGAACGAGGCCGATTACGTAAACCCAAAAAACCTTATACTCGGTTTGTGTGCCAGTTCCTGACGCTTGACTCTCAAACATGGCCATTCCTAACGGGTCTCTCTTCGATGACGATGGAATAGACTACAGCGATATCGAAGCAAAGTCCGTTCGACTTTTTCTGGATGACAATTCCTGCTTGAGCTGCAATGATCCAGATATCGCGTTGAAGAGGAAGACGGATTTGACAACATCCTGATCGTGGATGGTGTTCCGGTCATTGATGAGAGCAAACGGGAGAGGTTGTTGACCAAGATTGCCAAGGAGTTTGGGCGCAAAGGAGCGCCCATCAAGCCTGACAGTATCTTCCTGCCCTGGGATGAAGCTAAGGGGAAGAGTAAAGGGTGAGCTCCTGCGTGTATCCTCAGCGCACTATGATGCTCAAAGCCTACAAGCTATATCTTTATCGAGTTCCCGACTCCCGATGAGGCCTCGTTCGCGCTTGAAGCGATGGACGGTCATCCTTTCGACACTAAGCACACGTTCAGTGTGAACCGTTTCAGCGATGTCGAAAAGTACGCCAACATGGACGAGACTTACGTTGAACCGGAGAAAGAGGAATATACGCCCCGCGTCCGTATAGCACTCTGCTTGACCGCTAACTAAGCTCCTCGCTCACGATCGATAATGTAGGAACACCTTCGTGCCTGGCTGGCGGATCCTCAGGGTCGGGATCAGTACGCCACGTACCGGGGAGATAACGTAGAGATACATTGGCACGGCAAACCGTCTCAGAGCGAAATCGCTTACGAGAAGAATGTCAGTCAAGAGTGACTGTCGAGTGTCGAGAGGCTGCATCTAAACCTGCTTCATGACAGGGCTGGACGGAGCTTTATGTATCTTGGTCGCCTCAAGGAACATACTTGGCGACCCTGCACCGCCGAGGTGTGCAGTTATGGGGTGGTCCTTCCTGGAACGTCCAGCAGCGATTCGCTCACCCATTGGCGCGCCTCGTCGATTTCTCTCCATGCGAAAACTACCTCGTCACTTGGTCACACACACCTATTTCGATCCCAGAGGGTGCTGCTCAAGGACCGGAGTATTTCTCCCCTGACGATGAGGGCAACAACATTGCAGTATGGGACATCAAATCCGGTCATCTTCTCCGGACCTTCCCCGACATTCTCCTCGAAGGCGAGGACGGCCAGAAGAAACAGATGACATGGCCACCCATGAAATGGAGCTCTGACGACAAATTCGTCGCTCGTGTCACGCCAGGACAACAGATCAGCGTTTACGAGCTGCCGAGCATGGGTCTTCAGGGCAAGAAGAGTATAAAAGTCGAGGGCGTCGTCGACTTCGAGTGGTGCCCTCTTGGAGACAAGGATCGCGAGGAAGCTGAGAAGGAGGCAGCTGCCATCGCCAGCGGTGCCAAAAAGGGTACCTCCAAAGTTCGGGAAAATGTAAGAATTACTGGCGCTTCGCACGCTGCGCTTCACTTTATTGATATGTGCGCGCAGATCATCGCTTTCTGGCAGCCAGAGGCGTCCAATCAACCAGCTCGTGTCACGCTGATGAGTTTCCCTGGTCGAACTGTTCTCAGGCAGAAAAATCTATTCAACGTGTCTGACGTACGTTCTCCACGCTGATCGTTGCCGTATACGCCCCACAATTCTGACGTGTTCTCCAGTGCAAGCTTCACTGGCAAAACCAGGGAGATTCGCTTTGCGTCAAGGTCGATCGGCATACGAAGACCAAGAAATCGATATTTTGCAACTTAGAAATCTTCCGCGTTCGCGAGAAGAACATCCCAGTCGAAGTTGTGGAGCTTAAAGGTTGGGTCGCTGCCTCTTTCTGGATTTCAGATGCTCATGTGCTGGATAGACACTGTCTTGGACTTCTCTTGGGAGCCCAGAGGCGATCGCTTTGCAATAGTGTCGAGCAACGACCCTAATCTTGGCAACCCTGGTCCTGGCGTCACGATCAAGACTGACTTGAGCTTCTACCAGCTTGACGCTAGTAAGGGCGACTTTAAATTGCTTCGTAAGCTATCTTTGTTGCCATTGCCATCCGACTTGCATGAAACATATCTTCTTTAGGTACTCTCCCCAACCGCACAAGTAACACGATCCGGTGGTCACCCAAAGGTCGCCACGTCGTCCTCGGCACCGTAGGCTCTTCAAGCAAATCGGAGCTCGAGTTCTGGGATCTAGACTTCAATAGCGACCAGCTCAAAGAGGGACAGAAGGGTGAATGGGGTGCTGGCATTCAGCACATTGGCACTGCCGACCACTACGGGGTGACGGACGTGGAATGGGATCCGAGCGGGCGCTACCTCGCTACCAGCGCCAGCGCCTGGAGACATACAGTGAATGATACACCCCACGTTCCTCTGGGAGACGGAGCTGACTCATTTTGTTGCAGCTTGAGAACGGCTACGCGATCTGGAGCTTCCGCGGAGAGGAGGTTGAAAAGCATATTCTGGACCGCTTCAAACAGTTCCTCTGGCGCCCGCGCCCGCGCACCCTCCTTTCGAAAGAGCAGCAGAAGCAGATTCGCAAAAATCTTCGTGAATACGGGCGCAGGTTCGAGGAGGAGGACGAACTCGAAGAGAGCAAAGGCTCTGCAGAGCTCATTGCTCTTCGCAAGCGGCTTGCGGATGAGTGGAACGCATGGCGCGCTCTCTGCAGGGAAGATCTCGCAGAAGTGCGCCAAAAGAAAGGCAAGAATGGCTCTGAACCTGCCGAGCACGCGGAAGAGGAGAAGGAAGAAATTGAGTTGTGGATCGATGAGGTGATCGAACAGACAGAGGAGGAGGTTGCCGAGTGATATGTTCATACCCCTGTGTATTGACATGCACCATCAGTCTTTTTTGTTCCCAATTTCGACGCCTGTGCAAAATCTGCGTCGCCCATAGCTGTACGCCCTGTCATGCATGCTCACGCGGCATATATACGCAAGTATCAAATCTAGTGTACATTTTGTCGCTGGTCACTGGCGCCACGATCCTCCGGCCTTCATGATCATGGAGCAGCCTGCTTCTGTGTTGCTGAAACATGTTAAACATGGAAGGTCGATCCGATTCTGGATGTTGGTGCATGGCGTGATCCAGCAAAGCGCGGCGGTCTGGGCTGGAAGTACGAACAGAAGCGTCGGGATATGCATCGGCATCGTCGTGCCACAAGCCGTATCACTACGCACGTACCAACTGTCTCGTTTCACCATCCGCAACCGGTGACGACCTAGGCCGGTAACATCGGCGGTTCGATAATCTGCTCTCATTTCACCGGTTTATTCGCGGTAAGGCGCGCGCGATATCGGCATTAGTCAAGGTTCGAACCAGCACGCTTACATGGATGCGGGTGGTGCGCATCACGGCGTCGGGATATGCCCAAAAGGAGGTCCTTGATGATCGGCGCTTTCCAAGTACCCAGCGGGGCCTCAGGCTTCAAACTCCATGGCACATGTGTATGGAATAGAAGCATGTACAGGCAGTTCTAGATTTGCGGGCAACAGGTGGCATTGCTCCGAAGACGCTGTGCGGGAATAGTACGGGGCAACCCATTATTGGTAAGTCTTCATCGTATGATGGCTAGTTTCTGGAGCGCTCGTTCGAACATGATGCTGCTTGCCAGAAAGGGATCTAGCACTTGCAGGAGATGGCACGGGTCACAAACACGGTAAGGCTTGTGACCGTGGTGTGCGTAATATCTTGCGCGCTACGCCGCCCTTCCTTCTTTGTAGAGAATAGGCTTGAAACTTCACTCCGAAATCACGGGAGATCACAATCCGCCCTCTGGGGATAATTTGAAAGGCCCAGGTTTTGGAGATACGTCGAGAGCGTCCCAGCTGAGTACAGGATCTAGGTATGTGCACACTTTCGCAAGGCGGCGGGAAAGTCATGCAGTCGGGAGTCGGGATGAACGCTTCCGTGAGCGCACGGAATGTTCGTGGTCCGGCCCATGAGCAGACCGTGTCCCTTGAGACTGTACGGTACACGGGTGATTTGAGAGAATCACCCGTCTTTGCGATTTGACCTTCCATGAAAGGCAATAGATGGCTCTAGAAATTTCCGGTTAAGGCAATACCGCGAGACATAGTTACCGATAATGGTAACCCGTGAACCGTACAGCGCCTAAGCACGGCGCGTCATGCAGGCCGTAAGCGGACCGTGTACGTGAACGCAAGTTCCCGAGGAGTCGACACCGCTCTGGTTTTGTGCACGTCTCACCTGTACCGTACGCTCATCTGTAGATGAGTAGATCCAGGTACCAGTTAGAGATGTGTCTGTCCGACGCAGGTTGATCTGTTCAGTCACGTGCACGGCAGGGATTCTGGGGTAGGTGCGGCGGAAGCCGGCCGAAGAGCGTCGTCGTACCATCCCGTTATCTGATAAGACAACGCGATCCCGACCCCGTCCCTTGCCTCCTCCCCGCACCGTGCTCCCGTCTCACACAACGCTCCTCCCTTCTGTCATTCGTCCATGTCCGCCACCGCGGGGTCCGCAGTAGACCCGGTGCGCTCCTCATCTACGCTCTGGGCGACGGGTCCGTAGTCATCCCACTCATCGCCCGCGCTTCTTCTGGCTGAGAGAAAAAATGATTTCTCGCATAGCGAGCAAGGTATGGGAAATCCCAGCCAAACCAAAACCCGGACGCAAGCCCAAGAAAGACTCCAGTACCGCCGAGGACGATGGACAGGATGTGTGTGTCTCGGCTTCTCCTAACAACCTTGGGCTCATCCCGTATCCTTTCTAGGGAGATGCGAAATCGCGGCGGGGCCAGAATAGGTAGATGACCACCACCTTCGCCTGCCAAGCACACGTCTGACTTGGACAATGACTTTAGGGCTGCTCAACGCGCATTTCGCGAACGCAAGCAGACCCAGCTCGCTGAACTCCAGACCCGCATACAACGGTACGAGCAAGGCGAAATAGGTTAGTGTTATGGAACGGTCTGTGTCCTCCGCCTCAGTTCATGACCGCATCTCTTGATGCACAGAGCGCAACGTGGCCCTGCAGAAGGTAGCCAAGCGACTCAAGGAAGAGAACGAGCAGCTCAAACAAGAGAACGTTGCTCTCAAGGCCGCCGTCGCTGCATTGGAGGCTGACCGGAAGAGGAGGTCCGATGGGGACCTACGCTTAACTCCCGCGAAGCGCGTACGAACGCTTGCGACTTCCGACCCGCATCTCACTCCTGCCCAGGCGCCATCTGCCGAGTTTTCGCTGCCATCACCACTCTCCACAGCGCCGTCGCCGCCCGAACCTGAGCAGTCTTGTTCTCCCGCACCTCAGGAACATGCCTCCTCGCCGTCACGCAGCTCATCATACGATGGCTTTTTTGACTTGTCCCCAACCAAAGCGCGGCCCAACAGCCTCTCCGCTTATCCTGGCGTTCCTCGTGTTGGAGGAATACGACCCTCTACAACAGCCACTACAGGATATGGTATTGATCAGTTCGACTGTGGTTTCTGCGACGAGCAGACCCCATGCGTTTGCCGAGAAATCGCGCTTCAGTCTGCGCAGGCAGATGATCCCGTCGATGATAACACCGTCACCGCGCCTCATCCACTGAAGTTGGAGCAAATGGATCAGTGGATTGGTTCATCGTTGGAGTCCATTGATGTTCCTGACTCTGTCCCCGCGATTGCAACGCCTTCGGCGTCTCTCCTGGACAACATCGACAAACTGCCCTTCCAGCCTGCTGTTCCGCTGCGAAGGCGTGTCCAGTCGACGAAGAGCGCGTACAAGATCTTCCCCGTGTTCACTCTCTCATCTTCCGCTATCGGAGACACTATCCGCTATCCCATCAAAGAAAGAGAAGGCTGTTCTGGTGATCCGAGCAACTGTCCGGCGTGTGCGGACGACACTTTCGGCCGCGCATTCTGCACGGCTATACGCGACACTGTGGCCAACGCTCCGCGTTGCACGGCATGTCCAGGAGATTGTAGCGCCTCGAGCTCGTCGGCGACCTCCGATTACGTCGGAGGCTCGCACCAAACGCCCGCTACCTCTAGCCACGCTCGCGAAAATTCGGGCACTGCTTGCTGTGGAGACCTTTTGCATTGCGGGCGCGACCCTGCCGCATCGAGCTGGAGCTCCTCCGATGAACCCGCAGCCTCATCAGAGCGCACGATACCGACAGATTCGGCATGGCGCACCCTCAAGCAGCACCCCAACGCGGCATTTGCTGACTTGCGGTTGCTAGCAGAGGTAGTAGCCAGACGAAGCAAGTGCTCTGGTCCAGTCGTGGTCATCGATCCCCCAGCTGGGACAGGTACGCCCGATAGGATTGCGTCTCCTCCGCGAAGCTCTCTCAACAAGACGATGCGAAGAGAAGAGAAGGATGATGACGGCCAACCGGTGCTGCTCACTGACCCGCACTCCCGCTCGGGCAGCGAACGGGATGCTACACCCCCAAACTGTGCTGAATCTCCCGTTCACTGTGGTAAACGACGGATTCGAGAGGTCCCATACGATGCCGTGCGGGATGCCATACGCCTCCTGGATGCCTCTTCCCCCAACCATTGAGCGTACAGGTCAGGTATCGTCTTCCAGCGATCTATTTGGGAAAACCAAGTTTGTAGCATATTGTAGACCATTCCCAAACCTACTCTCTCGGTCATCAGGTCAACTCTAGATCGCTTCTTCATGTATGTTGAATGCATGGATTGTATCACCCGGATCGCAATACCGAGGTATCTGTAGTACCGCGGAACGTCCGCGTTAAACTATGCTGTTCTGCACGCTTCCATCTTGTCAACAGGCGTTCCAAGCGCCATCCAAGTACCCGTAGCTCCCTTGCTGTCATATCCCCATCAACTACCGGGGGCTGAGTAGGCTCCTTACCCAAAGAACGAAAGCGCCGTGCCAGTGTCTTCAAGCTGGCGGTACGAAGCTCCTCCGGGAATGGTGAGACCTGAGGCCAGAGCTCCACCAGAGTAGTGCGTGCCATTGCGTATGAGCCAACGACAAAGTACGCGCTCGAGACGGCGTCGATCGCGCCCACGTCCGGCCTTATCCCGTCAGAAACCATTTCTTGAAACACTCGCATCGCAAGATCAGGTTTGCCTTGCCTAGCATAACCGGCGATGAGGATGGTATAAAGAACGACGTTGGGTTTGATGCCGGCTTGATGGGCGGCATCTAACGTTGTTACTGCTGCGGTCATATTTCCTTTCCGAGCATATCCGTCCATAAGAGCAGCATAATGATGGGCCGTTGGGTGTATCCCACGAGAGAGCATGACATTGAACAATTGAGCAGCGCTGTCAGGTGAACCCTGAATAACTGCGCGCTGCTGCATCGCGATAGCGAACATGGCACGATCTCCACGCACTCCGCGATCAGACAATGATTGTGTCACCGGAGTCAGCTGTTTGCGATGGCCGTATTTGTTGGGCGCTTGAATGCTCGCGAATGGATCAAGACTGCCTGAGACGCCCGCGAGCGCTGCAGGATCATAACGCGCAACGTCTCGTCGCTTCTTCGAGAAGCGCGCTGCTACGACGTCCCAGCCCCTCCCATACACCGTCATCTTCTCGCGCTTCTGAATCGAGCGCAGAACAGTATGCAAATGCTGAGATGTTGGGCGGAGTGTTTGCGAGGAAATTTTCCGTAAAACGCCAATGATTTCCCTGGGACGGACGTTTTCCATCTTCGCCAGGTAAGAGAGTAGGATATGTTCGGTCGTTTCATCCGGCGAAAGCTGATGCGCCCGCATGATCTTGAAAACGGCGGTGAAAGCCCGCATACCATGCGTTTTGGCGAGACCGTCGAGCAGGACGTTGAGCAATTCCGTGGTGAGTTCGAGACCGGCGATTTGGGGCACGGTTGCAGTGTCCGTGGGCGGTTGCGGAGCAAGTGCTCGCAATGATGCTAGGGTGTCTACATCGCAGCTGCACATGCTGGCAATAAAATGAATAGCGGAAGCAATGTGTCCGGTTGCTAGGTACGCGCGCAGAAGTGCCGCGGCCGTCTTGGTGTCAGGACGGAAGCCTGCGGCCTGCATACGAGAGAAGACGCGTAGGGCTCGCGGCACATCGCATTCGCGTGCCATGCAATTGATGAGCATAGTGAAGGTAGCGGCGTCGGGTGGGACGTCCCCTTCGACGTTCGTTGATGGAGGCCATGCATCGCGCGGCGTTCCAGGCCGTGGCTGAGTGTTCGATGTGGGTCTCTGCGAGCGGCCGGTGTCTATTTTGGAACGATCGAACAAAGCAAGGACGCGCATCGTGCCCATCATGTCGCGGGCGTCGATATACAGCTGCATGAGGGAGTTCAGTATCATGGTGGCTGTCCGCTGCCCGATCCCTTTCAGCACTTCGAACGAGCGCGCTTGGACAGCATCGTCCGGACCGAGCGTCCGATACGTGGCCACGACTAGTGCATGCGTCGAGGCGTCTACGGGGAAACCAGAATCCTCCATCCATCGGAGGCACTCCTTGGCCTTTTCGACATTGGAATTGCGCAGGTGGCCGGTCGCGACAAGATGATATGTTCGTCGCCCAGGTTCGAGCTTTTCGCGTTCGAACTCTGGGAGGACGTCTTCCAGTAGCCTGTACCGCTTGTTCTCTACTAGAGCTCGCGCCCTCCAATTGAGGAGACGGACAGTCGTTCGTCCGGTATGACGTTTGCCGAGATTGACGACAGGAGGAATGAGATTCCATAAACCTCGTTGGGCGAGACAGTGGGTGACGCTCTCGTAAGTGCTTTGTGGCAACTGGTATCCCAATCGATGGGCTAACGATAGCACCCGCCGAGCCATCTGCGGACGCGACGATTTGGCTATGAGGATTGCCAGGTCTCGGGCTTGTTCGCGATCGGAAAATTGACGTGCATTGATGGAACTCGGGCCTCCTAGGTAGCGTAGTATGGCGTCCTTGGAAAGTCGATGAGGAGGAATCTTGTCGATATTGTCGAGGAGCTCCTCCGGAACGCTGCTCTGGCTCGACAAAAGCGGGCTTTGCACACGAGACACGTTTCCGCCGGTTGCGATGGCTGTGGCATGTAGAGCCTTGGTGGAAAATGACGCTCGCGATGGCAAGTTGGATGGGGCATACAGGAAGTCGCAGGCAGTCCGTGTCGGGGTGAAGCGCAGGTGAGCAACCCTGTGGAGATTCTGGCGCGGCGACAGATGGGACTGTCTGCGAGGGACATTGCATTGTAGTCGAGACGAAACGACGTGATGTAGACGTTGGCATCCACGGCCCAGCCTTTCCAGCATGGACTGCCAGCTCTACACCGGAAAACGTCTCAAAACATGCGAAGCCTGAAACCAACTAAGTACTCACTGAGCCCTACGGACAGCCTTGACTGTTCGTCAATACCATGCACCCGCCTTATCGCACTCCGTAGCCCCCAGCGACGCAAGTCGTCTCCGGCAGTTTGTGCAAGAAGCGGAAAACACGCAGGAAGTGGGTGGCACTGCAGCGGACTTGGACTTCGTCGACGGCCATTATTCGTCTTATTCACTCGATGCTCCCATATTACTGCGCACCTGGTGTCCTCGCGATACCTTCGTACATGCTCATATCCGTATTTCATCTACCAGTTTGGACTTGCAGTTCTTCCGTTAGCTGACGCTACCTTAGACTCCCAAATATTTCATTTGCAAGATGTTCTGCATTCTGTGCGCAAAGGGCGATGCACATGGTACGCGAACCCCGACAATCCGATGACTAAGGCTCTGCTCAGCCCCGCTAACTTACGAGGCTGACGCCCGTCATGCCGTGAGTCTGACAACCCACGCCTGCAACCCTCGGAGGGGTTTTCCACAGGTATCGCAGGTGGATCCACTGCGTTCGCCAGAAGCGTTCAGGCCAACCCCAACAAAGCCCCAACAATAGCTTCAATATCTTAATTCTCACGCATTCGTCGCCCATATGTCTGATCCCTGTCCTAAATCATTGGATCGTTGTGGTCCCGGCACCGTCCTAGTCCGAGCAGAACGCAGCGAACTGAAATGGATCCAGCGCGCCGGCAGCCCTTTCGTAGTGGCTATGCATTGCTTCGAGGTATAGATGCCATACCATCAGGATGATTACTATTCAACCTTCCAGGAACAGCCCTGACGGATGTGGCGTATCGAACAGGTAAGCTACGGATCAGATATCTGCTCAAGGCAAATGAATATAGTCCGCAGCTCAATTTTGCCATCGCCCGGCAAATTCTATTGATTCAGTAGTAATGGTACAATCCCATGGCCGCTCAGCACTAGCAACTATTGCGGCCGGCTCACCCGCTCGTCCCGCTACAAGGATGCCCAAGCTGTTAGACACCGCTGGCTCGTACGTTTTTTACCTCCACATCGTTCACCAAACCAAGATCAAATTGGCGGTTTGGCGGTTTGAGGCCTTGGAGATGGAGCAAAGGCATCGATGTGCTGCCTTCATTCCTGAAACACCACACCATTGTCACGGAGCGGAATTCCATGGCAACGTGTCATTCCGACCACCGCCACTCGGGTTCACTGAAAGGAAGCCTCTGGCGACACTGCATTCTGATAGACACCTATAGAATTCTCATTACGAAGGCGATAACGCAGCGGCCGGCATCAACGTCTGTTCTGGTTGTGAGGAAGGATAGCGTTCTGGTATTTCGCTCCTTCATCGTCTTCAGCATCCCTTCGCATTTTATGTGCTTGCGTTGGCTCAGGCTACCTGCCGACATACTAGTCTGCAATGACATGGTGGAAGTGGCGGGCGCCAGTGGCAACACGTGATTGGCATAGGCATTTCAGTGATGATCCATCTCCGCGATCATCGGTACTACTCTGAAGGCTCTAACATCGCCCCCGTCCGACTCACGTCGTCGTATGCTCGTCGCCGATGGCGAGATCTCACCGCTTCCGAGTTTAGTCATTAACATCGCACTCCCACGCAGCAGGAGTCAGCCAAGAGCCGCGCACGACCGCCGAAATCGCAGCATCACCGCGTTTCAGAGAACGCGTTGCGCAGGGTGCGGAACGCCCGAGATCCTCTGTCTCAGGCCCGGCATCGCCACCCGTTTAGAGTGCCTTACGCGTTGGACCGCTGGAGTCACCCCAACACAGCTCGATAGCCATCCGGGGTGCAAGCCCGACGCGAGAGCAGTATATAAGATCCATGGGATCTGCGTCATGGCTCTGTCACCAATATCTCCTACTCCTCGTCAATGCCGAATCTGCAATCCCATCTTACGGTCCTCCAGGCCACCGCGAAACGCTTCCCTTCCCGACCTGTCTACAAAGTCGCCAATGTCAATGGAGATGAAATCGAGCATTGGACGCCTATCACCTACAGCCAATTTCTGCACGATATAGAGGTCTCCGCAAGACGTTGGACTCGGGTACTACGACAACTCCGAGTTCCACCGCGATCAGTAATAGGCTTGTGGTACGTGTTTTGTATAGGGAGGAGGGATAGAAGGGCTCACACAACCCCGCAGGCTCGGCGGTCTCAACTACATGGATGCGACCACAATTTATGGCCTTACACGAGCGGGCTACATCCCGCAGATGTTCAGCCTACGACTACCTGATCCGACAATCGTCATCGAGCTGCTTCAGAAGGCCACCGCGCGGGCCATTTTCTACGATACGGCTTACGCGCCAGACCTGGCAGCGTTTGGGTGCCCGGTGCCGACTCTTACGATCACCGATCTCCTCATGGCCGACATTACGAGCGAGCCTTTGCCAGCCATGCCCTTGGCGGAAACTGGAGAAGAGACGGTCTTCATCTTCCACACCTCGGGTTCTACTTCGGGAAGCCCGAAACTCATTCCATGTAGTTTCAAGTGGCTGGACGCCATGATCACCAAGGGTTACGCCTGCGTAATCCCGCGTCGGCCTGATGTCCAGGACGTGAACGTGTGGATGTAAGTTTCAGTTACCATTTTTAGCCTGACACGGACGCTCACGTCTGCGCTTCAGGGGCAGCATGTGTCACATCGGACAGAACTTTAGTGGGTTCTATGCTCTTGTTCTCTATCGAGTTAGTTCTGACAGCGTTCCTTAGTGTTCTGGGGGGCTATGCAACACGGGACATGTACCATCATTCCGACGAGAATTGACTACAATTCACCCGAGCTGGTGAACATGGTACATCACGGGGGGCTGAACCGTATCAATGCCTTCCCACCCTTCCTCTGCACGCACTTACGGAATGCTCGGCAAGACCCGAAGCTTCTTGCGATTCTCAAGGGCCTCGATGATATTCTATACAGCGGGCTCGAGTTGCCGCAAGAAACGGACGACTGGTGTCGCGCGAATGGCCTTAAACTCACCAACATATACGGATCCACAGAGGTCGGCGCAATGATGCTTTCCAATCACGATCCCCTGCCTAACGGCCGCTTCCTCCGGCCCATGGAGGGCACTCAATACGGCTTCTTCCCCACTTCCTCGGAGTCCGAGACTGAATCTGGTCACGTCGACGTCCATTCGCGTCTGTTGGAGTGTGTCATCCTATCGTCATCCCCCGATTGCCCTGACAAGTCGTTACGAGCGGCGGATGGACATTATCACACCGGTGACCTGTTCGCCGAGGTGGCACCCGGCGCCTACGTTTTCCGGGGCCGTAACGATGATTGGATAAAATCCGAAAACAGCCTCCGGGTTGACACCAAATCCATCGAGGACAACGTACGCACGACCTGCAAGGGACTCATCTCCGATTGCATCGTCGTCGGTACCGGTCGTCCCTGCCCCGCGCTTTTCGTCGAGCCCGCGGTCGACATTGACCACGCTAAGCTCAAGAAGGAAATCCTTCGTCGTATCAAGCCCTTCCACACCCGCCGATATCTCCACGAACGCATCACTTCCACGAATTGCATAGTCGTCGTGCCTGCGAACACACTCCCTCGGACTTCCACCAAGGGGAACATTCGCCGGAAAGCCGTCGAGGAGCAATTCAGGGCTGTCCTAGACCTCATGCACGGTCGCCCAGCAATATAACCAGCCGAGTCCTGGACTACGCCCCGCTTTCGAATTCTACGGACGGACTGGAGCTCCTAGTTGAGCCTGGATATGTATTAGCACTAACGCACCGCATCATATTTATGTATTCATTATGCAGATGTTGATTCTCATGTGTTTATCGTAGATTGTAACCCACGATACGGCACCTAATGTCCATAGCACTACTAGTTTTAGTGTATATACAATGTAATTTGGCCCTTGATCGCAGTCTCTGGTATTCATACAGCAAATGGAATGGAATGAATATCATCCGACATACAGCACAGCACGGAAGTAATCATTCCCAAGCTATGGCCAGGGACGGCGAGCACCGTGCCATGTCAAGCGCCGGTATCCGAAACAATTTCTGCAGCACCGATCCGCCATAAAAACCTTCCCACCTGCTGCGAGCCCGGCGTACGTATGAGTCCAATGACTTCTCCACGGTCGATGGCGTGTCGCCGCCATTCCCTTTCGTGTCCGGTTGCCTGCGCAAGCGTTGAAGCAGGCGGCAACGGCACGATCGGTGCGAGAGAAAGGGTGACGTGCTGCGTGATAGGTGGATAACCCTGGTCGTCAGATTCTGGATTAACGATGAGGGAAGCCAATTCCGATATCAGGGGTTGCGGAGGAACGGCGTCTTCGGCGACGAACGGCGCTGGAAATGGACGGAGATGTTGTCTATAGAATGGGGATGGCCCTGAAGGGGTCGCGAGCGGGTGCAAGCCCCAATTTGTCAAGACGGTGATGACGCCATGAGAGAGCCGGAAACGCTGCAGCGCCTTCAGGACGTGGTGCAAGGGGTTGAGGCTGCCGAGATCCTTTAAAGATATGTTCTCGCCCAGGCACAGTTGTTCCACCGTGAAGCGATCGGGCCAGTAGAAGGCGCTGATCGAGTCAACAGCCAGGAGCCCGATCTCGACATCAGGATCGTTTTCGAGGTGATAGGAAGGCAGATTCAATATCGTCGCCGCGAGCTGCAAGGTTGATGTTGGCCGAAACACGTGCAGGTGCTGAAGACAGTCAGTGACCAGCTTTTCCCTTTGTTGTTCGTCTGCGCGGACAGGGCCGGATTCCGAAGCACCTGCGGATGATCGCGCGATGAGATGGGAAATCTGGGAATCGAGCAGCTGCTTGAAGCGTATGACGTCGAAAGCGTCGTCGCAGTCAAAGACCACAGCGGCCTTGTTCCAGCCTCCCAGCCGATGTCCGTCAAGATGGTCGGGTAAAAGGCAGATGGACGTGAGATGATAGATGAAATGCGTTTTGCCTGACGAGGCGGGGCCCTGGATCTCTAGGACATCGCCGCGGTTGAGGCTGGAGTGGAGCGATGCTTGATGTGCGACGGTGGCGAACAAATGCGGGTCGAGACCAGACATGTGGGTGATGCCGGGAGGAGATGCTGTTGCGAGCAATCGGGCAGTGCGCGATGGGAGACGGGGGGGTGTGCTCACTCTCATGTCGCACTGCAGCGACCAGCTGGGGATCGTCAGAGGATGTATTGCGAGCAAGCGGGACGACGTTACATGCGACAGCGGCTCGGCCCTCACGGCCCGCAGGAGGTCGGCGGCTTCTGGGATGTCGGCCATGATCGCGAGAGGAGCGCGTCGAGCTGGGTGGCGGTGCACGCGCCCGTCGCGACGCGGAAGCCGGATCGCCACGTGTGGCATCCATCGCTCACCAACGTCCCCTTCGCCTTCCACCGTACATACCCTCTCGTTCTACGCATACCAGCCATGGCGACGACAGCCACACCCCGCCGTCCTCCACCCAACTCCCGCCCTGTCCGATCGCCCTCCGTGTCGACCACTCCCGCGCTATCCGGTGTCTTGGCCAAAGGCGCGACAGCCCGATCGGCGCTCAACCCACGCACGTCCTCGCTCAAGTCGCCAACTCGGACCTCCTTCTCAAGAGGAGGCACCCCGCCATTGGGCGGCAATGATATGTCTGAGTCACTGATGCGGGAGACAGAGGAAAAAGAACAGGTGCGCACACGGCGGCCACAGCCTTTCCGCGCACTGCTGCATACGCTCACACGTCGGCCTACAGCTGCTGGTACAGCTTCAGAATAAGGAACAGGCCGTTTCCGAATTAACAGCGGAAAATGACCATCTTTCATCGGCTCTTAATGCCGCCGAAGGAAGATTGGCGGAGCTGTACACCGACCAGGCGAGGCAAGAAGAAGAGATGGCAACGCGACTGGAGGTGATGGAGAAGCTGCGCATACAAGCTCGCGAATTAGAACGGGATAAACGTGAACTGCAACGGCGATACAACGAACAGGTTGGCGCCCTCGCGTACCTTCGGAGTGACGAGATCACTCACATTTGACTCAGACATCTACCTTTGAAGCGGAGCGCCAAGCTTTCTACGACAACGAACAACATTTGAAATCGCGCATACAGTCACTATCCCAGTCGCTTACCCAGGCACGCAAGCAAGCCCAGACTGCGACGTCGCAGGCGGCGCTCACCGAAGCCGAATCTGAGACGGAAGTGGAGGAGGAGGTCGCGATTGATACCAAGAAACCGGAAGACAAGTCGCAAGACCTGAACGATCCCGAAGCCGAACCTGCCGAAATCACGTCCTTGAAACTGGAGCTGTCCACATTATCCACATCCTACGCTTCGTTGCAAGGCACGCTTGGGTTACTGCAGAGCCAGTTGGTCGATTTGAAGAGGGTCAACCGTGTTCTGCAGGAGGAAAACGAGAGCTACATGATCTTACTCCGCGAGAAGACTCTGAATGGCCAATTTGACGTCATGCGCACTGTTGGGACCGAATCAAGCTCGGACGGTGACGAAGCTGACGACGATGACGACGAAGACGAGGAACGCACCTCGGCTGATCACAGCAGCCTACGAAGTACCGGCCGCCACCCGCTTGAACCTGTCGAGGAGCACGAATATGAGCACGAATACGAGCGTGACTTAGCGCAGGAGCTGGAGCGAGCGGAGTCCGACGAAGAATTGCCGACGAAGAAATCTACTCGCCACAGAAAGAAGGGCAGCATATCCGACCCCGATAACCATCAGGGTGAATCACTCGCAGGTCTTGGTGTCACCGGGCCTGGTTTGGACCTTGCTGCGGAGCTCGGCCGTGCAGAGAATAAGGACATCCTTGACGGAAGCAGCGCACCAGCAACGGATAATTCCAGTCCTCGCAAGAAGGGTAGAAAGAGCGGCGTGCGCTCGGTTTCCGTGTCCTCTGCTGGCGTCCTTGAAGTAAAGTCGACTGCCAACGATATCGACGCTCTCAGAACCGAAGTGAAATCTCTGAAAGATGCCAACAAAGCGCTTTCATTATACGCGTCGAGAATCATTGACCGTATTATCGCCCAGGAAGGCTTCGAGCACGTCCTTGCCGTTGACTACGCAGACAAAACTCCAACGTCGCCGACGCCAGGCGCCAGTGGGTTCAGTCATACTGCTCTTCCGAAGTCGCCGACGGTGCCGGAGAAGAAACCTCGGCCGCAGAGCATGTTCTTTGGACGACAGGCTTCCAACCCGTCGCCACAACCTACCTCGGAAGAATCGACATCTCGGGGTACTTCTCCTCCTCTCGAGAAACCAGCCATCACCGCTGCACGACAGAATCGCCGATCACTGTCCTTTGACTGGCGCAGCTTTTCAGTTTTCGGCGGAGGTGAGAAGAAATCGGAGCCCCATAACCCCAACCTGCGGCCTTTGAAGCTTGGGTCTGGGCCTACTGTCACCGGCGCCCGAAAGCTGGACACTCAGGAGGACGAGGAAGACCGGCGGGAACGAGAGCGGCTTGATGCCACAATGAAATTGATGGGCATTTCTAAACCCCCTAGCTCGCCACCGCCCATGATTAAGAGCGTTTCCTCGCCGATGGAAACCGGAAGACCCAGCAGCGACGAGGGTCGGCCCTCCCTAGCGTCGAACAGCAGTTCTCCTGCGCCATCGCGGTGGTCGTTCTTCCGATCGAGATCCGGCACCCAATCCGAGACCTCGTCCTTGCACTCTGCGCCGTCCGGGGCGACATCACCTAGACCCGGCAACCTGACGCAAGAAGCTCTCGAACAAGCGGAAGCACAGGAAAAGCTTGCGGCGCTTGATGCGCATGAGAAAACTCTCAGCGCCGAATTGGCGAAAGGCGGTAGCGGAGGTTTCACAGAGATTGCCCCGAGACGCAGCAGAGGCGGACGCCGAAGCGCTGGCGGTAGTGGGAGTGGCAGCACCGTATGGAGCGCTGGGATGAGCAGAGACGGGCATCATGACGACGACTGACGATTATAACGACAACTAAATAACGGGACGGAACAGGGAACATGGACGTGGCAGTCTCATACAGGCGCTTTGCGCAGCCGTCCAGGATATGTACGTTCGTCTGCATATACTTGTATAATTCTTAATTACCGGAATACCACACACTGGATACCTGCCTGCACCGATTATATTCAGGTCTGCGGAGGAGGAAAATAAAAGGAAACGCCACAACATTAGGATAGCATATTCTATGATGCTCTGTCATGCTTCAAAAGGGTGTTTTGAGCATGGGTCCGGATTGCTGCGAAGGGGTTTTTGGCGAACTCTGGGTTTGCGACAATGACAGGCAGGCGAAGCTGCTCGGTTTTCCTGCGCGGATCGTTCAATCGATATGCTGAGGGGGTACAACGAATGACGCACAGCGCTTTCTTCCTCTGGGCTTGTGTAAGGGGTACACCTTTGCCCTCGCCAATCTGTCCCTGAGGAACCTTCCGACGTTGAGGTACGGGCGTTTCGTGTTCATCCTTTGGAGGCTCGCGCTCGCTTGTGCCTGATAATTTCACAGCCTGAGGCACTTGCTCCTCCACGGCGGATAATGCAACGGCCATATCGTTCAATCCGCTGCCGAACTGGTTGTTCTTGCGCCGTCGTAACCGACGTTCGTGAGATTTTGAGTATGGAGACTGAGCAGCTTCCAGGCCTGAACGGGCGGTTTCTGAGTTCGTCGCGCTGGAGGTCGCCAATGATACACGAGAACACACGTCGTAAGAAGAGATCGCGCTTAAGCTGCAGTTTGTCCTTTTTCTTCAACGTAACTTTGTCCGCGTCCTCCGGCACCGTCGTAAGGGATGCCAGAATTTCGTTGCCCTAAATTCAAGACGCCATCGTTACAGGTCTCATGCGATGAAGTGTGACCAGACTCACGGAGACTCCTTCCAGAGATCCTACATCAACGTGTTCGACTGCATTGTCCTGTGCTGCGAACTGGCGCTTGGGTAGTCGGACAGATTGTTGGTGAAGACCGGTTCGATGGCGAGTTTCCTTAGGCTAACTTGACTGCTTGATTAGCGCGAAGTTGCCGCACGGCAAAAGAGGACGAACCATCACGGACGGCAGTGCGACGAGTTGTAGATTAGGCTCAAAAAGATAGCTAGGAGATCCGTAGAGTGGAGAGGCCTGTTATGGTACTTACTAGGTACCCTGTGAGAAACCGGTGCCAAAATCCCAACACCATATGCATTGACTCATTGAAAGTAACGCTCGTAATTTGATGTATATACATCCACGACGAGAAGAAAGAAACGAGATGTAAATACAGCGATAGCACTTCCAGGTCACAGCATCCAATGAAATGCCATATGTCACCGCGTTGGCCGATCTTCAAGTTCCTCGTGCTCCTCCTGCAATGGCACATCGGGTCCTTCCTCCGAGTTCAAAACATCCCCAACCACAGCTCTATTAATCTTCTCTTGTTCCTGTTGGTCTTTCTCCGTGATACCGACAATGAAGAAGCTGAGTACGACCATTGCGGCACCGATTAAAACCTGCAGCGGGGACGGCTTGTTCAGAAAGAAGTCGCCAATGACCGCCAGGGGGATCGTCAGACTCAGGCCAACGGTAACCACCAGAGGCGTTGTCTTCAGCATCGCCAGAAGGTATAGGTAATCGCTAGAGAGCGTGATGAACATCTACGGAGTATGAATGTTCTGCCGATGCAATGGAAGGAAGCAGGGATGTCAACATACATTGATCAAGATGCCCCCAATCATTCTTCCACCGCTGGGAAATTCGAATCTCTCCGCGCCGGTGAAATGGAGTATGATGATGATAGGCCACAAAGTGACAACGTTGAATAATCCCACAAATCCAAAGAAGAGCTGCATGTCTATCCGCGACTCGTCCCGTATACGTACCTTCAGAAGGGTCACGTATAGCGCGTAGAAGAAAGCGGATAAAAGGGCAAGAAAATCGCCCAAGAGAGGACGTGATGCGTTTTCCCCCAAACCTACGTCGTCTGCACCGTCGGATAACGACACGAGAACGACACCCGAGAAGCTGGGCTCAGAGGATGAATCAATGTCATCGACACAAACTGAGCAGCCAACGAACCTCATGACCACCGCTATGACCTTAGCCAGTGAGAGTGACTCGACACGGAACAAACGTCCAATCGCGAGCGTGAATATGCCTTCGTTCATGTCAGGGTTGCATGGCACCAAGCAGCGGTCAACCATGCTCACCGCTGGTGGTGGACAGGATTGTTGTACTTGCGACCGTCGTGTAATCGAGAGCAGCATTGACGGACCAATTCGCGATGAACCAGAAGAAGCAGAAGATAAAGGCCAAGTCGGCCGTTTGTCGTGTCGTTAAGGGAAGTAAAACGTCTTGTACTGATAGTTTGTCTAATGACCGCAGCTGGTAGGCTCGTGTTCAACAGGCTGGGCCACACAAGCGATAAATTTGGAGCGTACAGATGGGATGCTGTCGCTCAGAGCTTGAGCCGCGTCTGTAGCCAGGGGTTCGTATCCGCTTCTCCTGCACTTCTTTTAGAGCATGGCTGGCGTTGGAGAATAAGTTACTCACCTGAACGGTTCACTCTCCCCTTGACGTCGCCTCCATAGCCATCTGAGGGAGAAGGGAAGTAGGTAAAGGGCGAAAGAGCTCGTATTGAGATATGTGATTCTTATCAACACTTCGTTAGCTCCGAGGTAGAAGGTTGAGTGTCAGCCAAACGGCCTACAGGAAGGGCTTCTCCCAGCCTCCCACAAGAAGATCCTAGCGACGAAATGGCATCAAGACCGAAGGCTAACCTCGCACAATGAAGAGCATACCTGCGTCACGAAGTTGCTTGCGGTCCACAAAAAGACGACGGTGAAGAGGATGACGATGCCAGTGAAGTACACGTTCTTGTTCGCTGCCTTGGCCCTCGACCCAGCTCTCGTGATGGACCGACTCCGCGCCCTTGCGCCCAAGCTAGTTGACAATGCCGAGGTGTCCATGTTGAGAAGGGCGCGCCCGCAGAGGAAGCCGAATCTCTATGCATGCATGGCGATGCAACTGATCAGGCCGCAGTCGTGCGAAGTAGCTCGCATTACGGAGGCCGTTTCCCGCCAGGTCTGTGAGGTGGCGTGACGGGACGTGACGCACCATTGTTGTCACACTGGGCCATCTTTGGCATCCTGTGGCCATCGCGGCTAATCCTTTCCCTCTAGATACTGGACCCCTGTGCTGCGCCAAATTTCTCCTTAATATTTCTCTTATAGAACAATATTATAACAAGAGATGATACAGGAGAGTATCGAGAAAGATACCGTTGAATTTGTGTGACCGCCGTTGTGCACTGCCACATTACCAGTGCGCTCGTGCGCCTTTCCGACAACCGTCGTCTTGTGAATATAACCCAGCAACTGCGCCGCTCGCGTACCGCAGTCATATACACGACCCTGCAAATCGTTGCGTAAGGGATCATGAAGTCGTCATCTTCGTCGATGACCAGCTGCCAGCGGCGGTGGTCCTGCTCTCGACCCTCGGCCTCGTGCGTGCCTCCGCCGCACACCTTCCGCCGTTTGCGCATGTCATCCTCCCGCGAGCCGCCACCGACGCTCACCCCACGCCCGCCGAGCTCGTCCAGCTCGCGCTTTGCCCACGCCAGAAATGTGATGGCCTCGCGCGCCCGCGCGCCGCCTGGCGCCGAGCCCGCGTCGACGCTGAGCCACTTGTGCGCCAGCACCGCGTGCAACGCATGTTCGTCCGCCAAATACCTTCTCGTGATAGGCGAACATTGATAAAGATCCAGAGCAAGTAAGGTGGGAGTACCCTGGAAAAGCAGCAGACGCTAATGCATGCGCATGTGCGGCGTGTCGTGAGCGAGTCGACGTCCAACGCCAGCGCCGTGCGGAGTAGCAATTGCAACATGGGGCATCTGTATAAGCGTGTGGGTAGGCGCTATGTTATTCGGTGCGACAAGAAAATTCTGAGAGCGCCGCACCGTGCGCATAGCAAACGTTCGACGCTCGACGTTCCAACTGCATATGTGCGTAGGCGAGAACAATGTTGTCCAGCGCGCTGGATCTTCGACACGCTCCAGGATGGCGTTGGGATGTTCTGTGGTTCCCTCGTGCTCGATATGGTCACCGACAGTCAATGAGCGTCCCTACAGCAGATGAAATAGATCAGTCACGTCCAACAATCTGTGCACTACGCCACTCACCTGATACCCTCCTAATCCCATGGATGTGGACTTCGATTCCAGATACTTCGGTATCCCCGGGAACCCGCCCCTCACTCCAACGTAAACTCTCATCCCTTTCTCCTTCAAGGTCCCGACGACCAGCCTGCCGCCCGCCGGTACCACCACCTTCGTCCATATCTTCTCCGGCTCCCTGTTGATAGTCAGCGATACCGGAGGACCACAAACCGCGACGACGGCTGGTACGTGGAAGTACAGTTTGCAACCGGCGAGAGTAACTTCGAGAGCTTCGGTGTTGACGTCGTTCGAAACGAGCGCGTTCGCCGCCATGAATGCCATGGGGTCCATAGGCCCGCTACGAGGCATACCGAGCCCGGTTAGGTGCCCAGGGAGATCTTGAACAGTGGTCTCAACCTCGCCCGGAATGACGTCCATTGCTCTGGCAAAGGCAAAAGTATGAGATTCGAACGATGCAACCGTGGTTGCGACTCCTTACCCGGGCGTGAACTTGAAGTGCTCCGGAAATGTGGTCATGGCGTTCCCGTCCTGGAAGGTCTTCGAGCTACATATAGCATCGAGGTACGAGATGTTGTTTGGCGGACCGAGAATCTTTGTCTCCGATAGAGCCTGCTTCAGACGCGAGACAGCCTCAGAGCGTGAGGTACCGGTAACGATCAGCTTGCATGCCAGCGGATCGTAAAAGGGTGTAACCGTAGTGCCGGTGCCAACCTAGCATGCGGGTCGGTTACGGCAAAAGACGGGTCTGGACAAAGCTTACTTACCCAGTTTTCGAGCCTGGGCCAGTCTCCTTTCGGGAATTCTACGAGTTGGAGCACCCCAGGCGATGGCTTAAAGTTAGTTGCAGGGTTTTCGCAGTTCACCCGCGCTTCGATGGCGTGAAGTTGTGCGGTGTTCGATCCATAGTGGGACTGGTCCATGAGATCGGGCGCTAGGTGGACGCCAGCGCGTTCCGCGATGCCTTGCTTAATCATGAGCTCTACGAGGTCAAGACCAGGGTGAACGGCCTCTGTGACCGGGTGTTCGACTTGCAGGCGGGTATTCATCTCCAGGAAGAAGAACTCGGCAGTCGAATCGTCCACGATAAACTCGACTGTCCCTGTAAAGGTTGGTTTGCCACGGTGAGATGCAGTCTTGACAGGGTTATACATACCCGCAGATCCGTACTTGATTAACTGACATAGCTTCACCGCTGCATCATACATCTTCTGCCGTACGTCTGACATGACCGGTTAGTTGAATAATACTCCAACGGGGATAACATGAGCACCTGGATGTTTGTCCATGAACGAACTTGGTGACTCTTCAAGGACTTTTTGATGCCTTCGTTGGACGCTGCACTCGCGTTCGCCCATGTGTATCGCGTGTCCATGGCCATCGCCGAAGACCTTGGCATATTGTCAGCTCACTTCGTAAGGTAATCGAGAGGAATCTCGGTACCTGTACTTCGATGTGTCGAGCGGACGATATGTAACGTTCGAGAAAGAGGCCGTCGTTCTTGAACAGGGACTGTAGCGTACACGATCAATCCCAGTCAACCCTGTAGTGCACGCATATGGCACCAGCTTACTTTGGCCCGACCTTTCGTAGCCTCGAACTTGTCCTCCAGCTCTTTCGCGTCATTGCAGACGACCAGTCCCATGAATATGTTAGCGCCATGTACTCGCTCCTGATACGCCAGCGTGGGCGATTAGGTAGCACAACTTCGCAGAGATGTGGCCCTCAGTATTATATCGACATATCCATCTGGGGTGATACTTATCTACGATATATATTTTCTGCTACGTGAGTATATATTTTCGCCTGGCCACAGAGGGGTCTGCTAGCGGGGATACCGTTGTTGCGGTGGGTGGCCAGCAGCGTGACAGCGCGTGGCGCTCACTGGAGACCTGGCGGGAAACGGCCTCCGTACTCGCATGCAACACACTGGAGCCTGATCGCGCGATCTGACGTCTGGCCTAACATAATCCTGCGAGGCAAGCATATCATGATACACACCTCTGTGGACGTATGATACAACAAGATGTACTGATCGAGGGACGAAGCGTCACCGAGTCCTGGATAAATGTGTCGCGTATTCTACAGTGAAGTCGGATGGGGTATTTCTGGGATGGCTTGTCCGGTGTGATATATATATAAACGAACCCGCCTGTCAAGCAGGGTCCAGGGGGTGGGAGCACAAATCCGCGGAACTATGTCTACGTGGATCATGGTCGAGAGGAAACCGCGGGATGGTATTTGACCTTCTCGAAGATGCGGAAGAGGCTGATAACCAGGTTGATGCAATACATGATCAACCCGACGCCGACCAGGCAAATGAGGATGACTTGGTCATCGCATATGTTGTCGCCGACGCCGCCATGCCCGCGACCGAGGCCGGGGATATTGCTGGGGCGGTTCAATTCATTGTACCATGAGATCCGGGATGGGGAGGCGCAAGGAATGAGAGATGTGAAGAAATTGTCGAAGGAAAGGGACAGGGCAGCGGACCACGCGCAGATGAAGACGACCTCGAATAGTGTATGTGCCAACTTGGCAGATGTTCGCCATAAACCGAGTGGCCGTCCAAGATATTCCAGCTACAATGTACGTTGGTGAGTACGAATGGCAGGGCGGTGACAGAAACCAACGTCTTACGTAGATAGCGGACATAACGTGCACTAAAGTCAAAGGGGCAAATATAATGACAAGAGTTCTATGGAAGAGGTCAGAAACTGGGACAGCAAAGACGTTCAAGGTACGTACGGCGAGCTCCCGACTGCTCCCATAACGTGATGATGCATTTCCGTCTCTCGTATTCGGATGGCCATGGCCAAAGCAGCCGTAGTGAAAGCAATGTTGATCACGCGGAAGAGCTGGCATGGCGTCAATATAGTATGCAGGACTAGCAGCCTGCTTCGCACGCACAAGAGGCACATAATTATTGGTGAGGAAGAAGCGTCGCCATCTCTTCCTCCTGCTCTTCCAGTCCGTTGATTTCTCGTTGGGACCTGTCACCTCGGTTTCATCGGCTGAATTAGCATGATCCGATGGTTCGTAGCCATTGCCAACGGGAAAAAGAGGGTGCGGACGAGCCGACCACGGGGACGCCCATCCAGGGGTATGGTTATGATGGAGGGTGAAAAGGTTCTCTTGGGGAGGTGGAAGTTCCAGGGTAAGGCCACGAGCGTTCTGACGTGGTGGCCGGGGAAACACGGTGTTGCCTGCATCTGCAGGCTTTGTCTCAGTAGCTCCGTCCTGCGACCTCCGATTGGCCGGAGTAAGCCAGGATTTGGAACGTTCTTTCAACGCCCATCCTATGTTCCTCATCTGAGGGGGTTGCAGTTGCGTGTTGACGGTTGCCGCCGGCGGCGGAGGTGGGGGCGGTCGACCGTCTGCGTGCGCGAATGTCTGCCATAGTGAGTTGGCAGATTCTGGAGGGGGTCCCGGGGATGCGGTACGACTCGTCCCAACGTCGGATGCCCGGGGTCGGGTAAGGTCGCTGGTCGAAAGCAAGGTTTGCTCTGTAGGTGACGGAGGCTCGTTGCGTGCCCAAGCTAAAATAAACGACGTCGATAAGCTTAAAACGGGAGTAGATGAGAGGAACGACGCTGAACGCACGCGGGGAGGTTACCACAGATCTTCTGGTAGAAGTTCCGCGAAGCTGGCTCTGCAGGCTGTTTGTCTTCGCGGTGAGGGCGGTACCAAGGCTGGTGACAGAGGCATTGGGGTTGGCTGTTGGGCTGCTCGCGCCATCGTTAGCAGCCATGAACTGTGCAGGGGTGGGCAAGAGATGAGAGATAGAGCCTGCCGGGTCCAGCACGGTCGCGCGCAGGTCATCCGCGAGGGACATCCCGCTGCGGCTTTCGTGCCGGTCTATCTCCGGTCACTCCGTGTCTCTTGCCGCCCCTCATCTCCGACGCCTTGACTTTCGACGCTTTCCCGCAACGATGGATGACATACCGTCTATCTCATCTGGCGCAGTTGGCTCTCGGTTTGTCTCCCAGAACGAGTTGGAGACGGCGCGTGCAAAACGCGACGAGCAGTGGAAGGTGCCTATCCTTCTAGTGGCCTTTGTGAGCAGAGTAGCCTGATCTCATTCCACGCCCAGGCAGCATATGCGAGGCAAGTGGCTCCTGTCCGGCCAGCTTCCACCTTCAGCGCGGTGCTCATTCGCCCAGGTGACCACTCGTACGTTGTCACAGATTAGGTCAGGAGCCTCCACCTGCACCCAACGAAGATGTATACGACGGGCGTAGTCTTGCCGAGGCAAGCATATTTTATGTCCCTTCGCCATCCACCCGTTAACTTTCCTTGTCCACCACAGAAACTTGCTGCTAACAAGGTGCGCCGATTGCTGCGACGCGCGCAGCATGTTACTCGGAGTTGTCTATTAACCATCATATGTCGCAACCAGGCAGCGAAACAGGAACAGTGGGAAGAACGCAACCGCCTTGCCAACCAGTTCCGTGCATTGGAGGAGGACGAGGTGGTCTTCCTCGACTCTGTGCAGCAGAAGCAACTGGAAGAGGAGCGGAAGCGGAAAGCGGAAGAATCGGAGGAGCTCAAGAACTTCCGAGAGTACGTGTATACCGTCTGCTGCACTGCGCCCAGTCTTATCTGCCTGCGATATGGTCTGCACAGAGCTGTAGCCGCGAAGGATGCCACTGTTGGAACAATTCCCGCCCCTTCTTCCACTTCTCCTCCGGTGCCGGTCACCAAAGTGACGGCCAAAACAGCCCCGAAAGCCAAAGCGATAGTCGCGGGCCCAAAGAAAAATGCCCTGAAGGGCGTCATCAAGAAAAAAGTGCCGGCGAAGCGGCCTTCGACATCCGTTCCCGATTCTTCTGACCATGCACCTGAGTCTTCACTTGATGACGACACAGATGCTCGTAAAGATAGCAAGAGGCGCAAGCTCTCCGGCACTGAAGCGTAACAGTAGCCCTTATATGTGATTCTCTGACGCAGTTGCATGTACATTGGTGTATTGACCATTGTTATAGATATCCGTCCCTTGGTCATCATAACATGAATGTACATCAGATCATCGTCTTGTAACGGGGCTAGGCGTCGGTGTCCATCTGACCCTATCGACATCCTTGCCCTTGGTGGCACTGCTGCCCTCCCAACCATTGATCCTTGCCATCGCTTCAGCCCTTCTGGTAGCTGCGGTACCTAACGTAGTCCTGTCCAGCAGCCTCTTCGCGGCAGGAGTCAACGACCCGCGTGCCTCCGCTCGTCTTGGCGTCCAGTTCGGCGGCGGCATAGTCCCTTTCCCTGATATTCCTTTTTGTCGAATACCGCCAAACAGCGATTTATCACCCAAGAGTTCGGCCTTGGCCTTGAGGCTTTTCGCAGCTTTGCTTGACAGTTTATGCGACAGCTGCTCGCGAGCGGATGGGCCGGATATATGAAATGGCGTAGAGGGCGGCGGGACATCATCGTCACCAGTTTGAGATAATATGCGAGGAGTCGCATTCAAAGAGCCCCATGTCATGAGTTGTTTGACAGCCGCAGGCCCAAGCTCGGAGGGAGTGGGAGATGGCATGGCAGGCACCAGGGAAAAATTGTTGATAGTTGGGGACTTTGGTCGATCTGATTCGTAGACTCAGCAAACGGAATGCGATAAACAGCTGAGTGATACTCACAAGGGGTGCCGGCAATTGCAGCATCAATGCGACTTCGCGTTGGACTCGGTGGTTCAGAACGACCCCTAGTTATAGAAGAACCATCCTCCTGCTCCGGTAATCGAGTGTTGGCGTATTTGACTACCTTGGGCTCGATGGTACGCGCGTTGGAGTCTTGCGAAGACGTCCTGGGCGTGTACGGTGACACGTCCGCGTCAGGAGGAAACATGAGAGCATTCCTTGTCTGCAGTACTTCAGCAAGGGGTGATGACGAAAAAACGATTCAACTTACCTTGAATTTCCATCCGTCTACACCGGCTGCTCTAGTATCTTTCTTGGGCGCCATGACATCCACCGTCTGTTCTTCCTCCTGAGGAGTCCGTACGGCGAGTTCCTTTCCCTTCCCGTTATCAACTTCATCCGAACTTTCTGCCCGCACTTCGCCTTCAGGTGCCGCCTCGATTAGCCCCTTCGGTAGTTCCGGTGGTTCAATCAACACCTTCTCCCTCACCCCTGCCTCCTTAGCGCCCTCAATCATCATTCTCTCTCTTCTCTCGAGCATCTTCTTCTGCTGACCCTCGACCCTTCGCTGTGCGTCCCATGCCCATGCCCATTTCTCCCTCCGCTTCCTGTTCTCGTCCTCCAGTATCTGCGTGAAACTCGAATTATCTTCCGAAGTATATCGTGCCTGGAACGCATCGAGGCTCAGATCGGTATCATAGCGAGCGCGCTTCGCCGTCGGTTCGCCGCGCGGGGTTCGCAGTGGCGTCTCGGAGGGACCGGCGCCGTATCCATAGGGAGTTTGGAAAGGCGTCTGGTAGGGTATGCGAGCAGATGCCGCCGGTGTGCTCAGTTCCTGGAGACGTCGAACCGACGCGTTGATCAAATCCGGGTTCTGCGAGCTCATTGCATCCAGGTAGTGGTTCGTGGCATCCAGGTGCACAAGGGATGGGAAGAAGTCCCGAGCAATTATACGGGATAACGCAGCCGTATACTCATCTTCGTCGAGGACTTCCTGGTTATTGAGAGAGCGAGAGAGGGCATCCTCTGGTTTGGGACTGGAGGACATGATCAGGGCTTGAATGAAAGTGGCGATCCGAGGGGAAGGCGCAGTCCTTCGTGGCTGTCGCGACCGGGGCATGCCGTTGTCGTCATCCATACTTCCTGATCACTAACTTCACGATGCACGAAAGTTTGGGCGTCAACGGCAACTTTGAATCAAGTATTGTCATGACCAACGTCAACTCGATCGTTGAACAGACTAAACACGCTAACGAGTAAGGTCATTTGAGCGTAAAACAGTTCGTTATCGTCATCTAAATATCACAGGTATATCCATCAGGTCTGCATAAGTACTACGGACTGACAAGAGAGGAAAACACTAGTAGAACAGTTAAGAGTGGAAAAAAGGTGTATGTATGTTAACGAGAGACATTGCGTCCCGGGCCATATAACAATGATTGCGAGGTCATGGGCGTCAGAAACGGGAGAGGAAGACGTCGCGCAAATTAATGGACGGGAGGAGTAGGATCGGGATGTAGAAGGTAAGTATAACATAACGATTTTCCGACAAGGGGAGATATGCGAAAGTGCAGTCAAGGCATCAAGGCAGGGAACGCATAGATGAAAGTAGCCGATGATTACTTTGCAGGCCGGGTCGCAGTCGGACTCGCCCGCGTTCGGCTATTGTCGAGCGCGGCATACGCGTCCAGTGCCTCTTGTCCCGCACTCTTCCGTCCAGCATTGGGTCGGCCAATCCGGCTTTGACTGAGCGGGTTCGCCTTGGCGCGCGTGGTCACATTGTGGTGTGGGCCATCGCTTAGGTCGTTGCTCACACCGTCCGACGAATGGGAATTGGTTGTGGTCGTATTGGACGACGTTCGCGTATAGAAGCCGGAAGAAGATGGAGGTCTGAGGCTGGTAGGGGGGAAGGGCGAGCTAGATCCAAGTGACGAGCGCTTGAGAGTAGTCGAACTAGGTCCAGTGGAACGCTTTAAGCCAACCCCAGGATTCGAATACAGGCCTGAGGTGGGCAATGGTAAGAACGTAGGTGTTGTGGGCCTCGAGGTAGGCGTCGGAATCGTACTCATAGATGCCGCTGTGCTGATGCTACTCCTATCCGTAGTCACCGAGATGCGCGACCCGGACCGGCGATTAACGCTTTTTTGAAGCTGACTGCTGATACTCCGATCGTTCGAGGCCGAGGTTGTGTTGGAAGTAAGGCGCTTAAATGCAGACGGCGCGGTGGGACTGGACGTCCTCCTTCTTTCCTTGGTCCTATCCTTAACTGGGGAAGGCGAGTCTTCCATGATAAGCACCCAGCCCGTGTCGCCACCTGCGGGTGTTTTCTTGCCCTCTCCTTCCGCATCAAGGCTGAGTCGATTCATCTGGCGGCTGCTGGGCGGGCTTGGTCGGACAGTGGTGGTCGACGATGATGCAGGCACTTGTGTCGGCGTCGTCGTGCTCGTAGCAGCGGGAACTGCATTCTGTCGCCCGGAGACACTGCCCATCCGCAAACGGGGCACCCTAGTGTGTATTCTCTGCTCCAGGTTCTTGACACGGGCGCGCATCTCGGACACCATCTGCACTCCCTTGCTCCTCGGTATACCAGTAGCGGTGCTCGTAGTTGCGTTGCTTGAAACACTCGTTGTGCGCGTTGGGAAGGTGGGCCGGGCAACAGGAGTACGGGGAGAAGCTTTATATCGTGCGGAGCTAAGTGCCGTGTTGAGTGACGGCAATGTGCTCGAGCGGCCAAATGGTGACGGACTGGAGCCTGGCGAAGGGATTCCCGACCGAGAGGCTCCCACACCAGTGCGCCGGAGAAGCGCCGATTGACCCTTGCGCGACTCGGAAGGAGTGACTATGTTGGTCGTGGGTTCCACTTTACGAGTAGGCGTGTCGCTACTCGTCATCAGATCCTCGAGCGACAGTTCGTTAGGTGGAGCGGTGCGCATTAGGTCATCCGTGGTAAGTGGTACATCCTTCTGCGCAGCTGCCGAGGAAGCGGAAGATGTCTCGGACAAAACGACGGAGGAACGCGATGATGCCGCAGCTCGAGCAGCATCTAGCTGATCCTTCAGGATAGAGATTTCTTCGTTCGCCTCTGTGGAAGGTAAGAACGAATCGCGGCACAGGTGCGCGAGATCAACTTGCCTCTGACTTGATCCTTCAGCCTTTGGCATTCTTCCTCCATACTGGCCTTGTCCAGTAATTCGTGTTCCAGCAGAATCTTCTCCTCCAATGCTCGTTGATATTTGGCGTCGACATCGGCTAAGCTAGAGGATATGGCCCGCTCATTCCTCTCCAGATCATCGTTGCCAAGCTCCAGATCACGCAACTGCACCCGCATCTTCGAGTTCTCCTGCCGCACCATATCTAGCTCGCGTTGTAGAGATGTCGTTGTGGTGTTGTGCGTTGTTTGCAGAGACATGAATTTGGTCTGGGGGGCTCATCAATCGCACGTACACGGTTCCGGATAGCGCATATACCAACCTTCCAGTCGTCCCGCTCCTGCTCAGCCCTGGCGACCTTGATTTTCAGATCCTGCTGAGCTTTCTCCGCCCGTTCCAGATCGCGCTCCAGCTCCTCCTCCAGTTCCTTGCTCGATTGGTGGAACTCGTCCAGTTCTTGCCGTGTTTCCGCCAGAATGTCGCTGATCTCGACGTATTTGGCCCGCCAATCGACCGAGGGCGACGAATAGCTGTTGGCTGAAAGTCAGCTGGGTTGGAGTTCATGTTACAGCGTGGGACGGACTTGATGGCATTCTCGTCCGTGGAAGACATGAGGGAGTCCCTGCGGAAGGGATTCGAGGGGGACAGAACGGCCGTCATGAAGCGTAGGAGGACGAGGCGAGACCAGCGCCGACGAGGGCGCCCGTATCGTCGTCGTCAGGCTTGGAACCAGCGCAGGTGCGGGTCACGCGTTATTGTCACGTGTGGCGTTGACGCGTCTTGGATCCCACGGTGTCACACGCGGCGCGATCCAACCGGTACTCTGAGGATGGCATTGCAGCAAGTAACGCGCTATCACAAGATTACAGACAACGTAGATGATGGCTATTGCAGGGTCTCCGGCTTCGCGCACTTCCGCTTTTCCGTGCGCCCGGTTTTGGGACATCGCATTTCTTGCCTGCAAACTCCGTGTCAACAAGCACGGATGAGCCAGAGGAACAGTTCTCCCACCAGCTCACGGGTTCCATCGTGGCGCCTGCTAGGATTAGCCGATGCTTGCAATCTCGTCGGACTCACTCACCAGCTTCGCTGGTAGCGAAGATGACGCCCAGATCGTTGCGGGCTGTTGTGATGTAGTAGCTACGAGCATCCCCCAGAGAAATCTGCGGAGGGGATCAGTGACCTAGGTGTGGTGGACGGGCTTGAACTGACCACGACGCCTTTCACGACGTCGCCACCTCTGAAGCAATCCGCAATCTTCACTTTATCCTTTTCGGTGGCGCGCACATCTTGTACGCGTATGATACCGGTGAATTCCTCCCCAGCGGGCAGGGGCACGCCGTCGACCACGGTTATTGCTACGTTTGCTTGCAGGGGCGACAGTCGAGTGACTGACCCGAGCACGACGGAGTTCGGAGCTGGAGGATGCGGCCGTACGGTGTGGATCGCAAGCGTCTTGTCGGTTCAAGATCAATCACAAGGTCATACAAGTGTCGCAGACCGAGAAGCATTGCAAAGAAGACCAACGGATCCTTGGTATCTTGGTTCACCGATCAAACTCGCGCGCACTTGGCCACCCCGCAGGTAGATGCCCGTCCCGAGTTGAGGCACTGGTCCTCTCGGCAAGGCCAAGGGCTGTCCAGGCAGAACGATCTCGGAGGCCATCGAGACAGCGGAATGGAATAGGGTGTTTCACGAACGGGTTTTCGATACGTTTTCGGCTCGATTTCACGCGATTTCGAGTCCGATTTTTGGCAGCACAAGTTGGAGAAAATGGGCGGAAAGCGGGCTGAAAATGAGATCAACGTGAAACCCTCAGTAGATAGGCTGGTTTTCCGTCGATTTTGTACCCTCTGCATGGTCCTGCGGGGATACTGTTCGGGTTTCCTGATATAGAAATCAATCATCGGCATGCCCGCCATACCACTACGCCAGCGCCTGCTGAGGCAGGTCCTGAGATACGCGAGACGATTGCAGAAGATCCGCCGCCGAAACCGAGAAGACGACGACTCAGATGCAACAGAACTAGACGATCTCCAGTCGTATTTCTCAGATTCGGACTTCAACGGCAGCTCAGAGGATGCTACGTCGATATCTTCTATGTCATCCCTATCATCCAGCTCATCCAGCTCATCCACATTCACCTCGGATTCTAGTAATTATGCAGATACATCTGATAATGAATCCATTACCTCCCGCTCCTCAGACATGTCCAGTCTGGCACTCTATCACTCCCGCATGCAAGCTCTTCACGAACACATCAAATATCTTGAGACAACCCGTGTACTCCAGCCGAACAAGGTCTACAAGTTGTCACAGCTCAGCCTTGTCCTCGATGCATACAAACATGAAGATCCTCGTCGCTTCCGGCGCAATCTCCGAGTCTCACCCACGACGTTTGACCGCCTGTTAGGCCGGATTGAACTACATCCCATCTTCCTCAGCACTGGTCCTCGTCCTCAGATGGCAGTTGACAAGCAACTCGCCATCGCACTCTGGAGGTTCGGACATTTCGGTAATGCTGCTTCGGTTGAATCAGTAGCACAATGGGCGGGGACATCAGCTGGGAACGTTGTGAATGCAACACGTCGTGTTATTGTTGCATATCTTGCACTTCATGATGATGTCGTCCGATGGCCAAATGCGGATGCAAAGGAAGCAGCCAAAGCTTGGGTGGAGGCTGCATCGTGTGCTGCCTGGCGTGATGGGTTCTGTATGGTGGATGGTACACTAGTGCCGCTCGCCGAGAAACCTGCATTTCATGGAGAGGGATACTTTGATAGGAAGTCGAACTATTCACTCAATGTTCAGGTATGTTCATTCTATTACTGATAACATGTACTGAGTCCTATGCAGCTCATCACTTTGCCCAACCTACGCATTGTTGACTATGTCATTGGCCATTGCGGTAGTGCACACGACTCTACGGCATTTCTCGACTCAAGGACACTTAACGAGCATGACACACTCTTCCATCGGAATGAGTGGATATGGGCAGACTCGGCGTACCCTATCGAGGCGTGGTGTGTCAGTCCCTACAAGAAGCCAGCAGCAAATATTCCCGAAAACAAGACATTCAACTACTGGGTCTCTCGGGTACGTCTTACCACATATACAGTGTCTTATGCTTACCAATGATCATGCAAAGGTTCGCGTTAAGTCTGAGCATGCAGTAGGGCATCTCAAAGGCCGGTTCCAGTCTCTCAAAGGTCTTCGACAGCAGATAAAAAATGAGGATGATCATCGGCGGGCTCTTGCATGGGTACGCGCCTGCATCGTTATCCACACCCTGATCCATGATATCGAGAGTGGAGAAGAAGACCTGGAGTGGGAAGAAGAGATTATCCTTGCAGGATTGTCATCCGATTCAAGCTCGTCAGATGATGGTGTTGGCACGATGCTCCGTGAGTCGACCAGGGAGTCTCAAGGCCAGCGGAAACGGCGTAAATTGAAGGAAGCGTTATTCTGCAGTGGAGTACTCAACTAGAGAGAGTATCGAATACACTAGAAATGATGCAACTAACTCTATCGTAGCTATGTCGTATGTGCTCGCGCAGGGTGCGCTCTCACCTACGTCATGGCCTGTGCCTCTCTTAACGCCGTTCACCATCGGCACCAAATCACCCAACCACACAGGCGTGTTCAACATGGCGCTGGACGACGACCGCCAGCATACGCACTGCATACCAATGCGCAGCATGCGCTGGCATGTCCGACTGTGGCCCACACGAAGTCAGCGCAGGTGCGTTCGATATCGCTCGCAGCGCCTGCCGCTGGCTCACTCGACCATCGCCGACACATCAGCAACTCACGCTACGGCGGCAGCAGCCATATCATCGTCACCCTCCACGAACGCGCTCGCGCCCATCTGCCGGCTGCGACGCAGCAAGTTCGACAAGGCCCGGGTCGACACCATATACCAGAACCTCTAATTCACTGCGCCGCTGCTCAAGTACTCATCCAAGGCCAGGCTGCACTCGTCTCCGCGCCCGATCACAAGCCACTCCCGAACTCGCCGCCGCCGGACTCGACCTACCACCAGCACGGCGGGATGATCGTCCGCCTCGAGGGGCTGGACGCCCTCATCTGCTTCACGTACGCGTCCTGGGCGCGCGACATGCTCCGCAAGGGCTGCGACCGCAAGGCATGGGAAGGCGTGCTCGGCGTCATGGGCTGGTGGACGAGCCGGTGAGCGCCGTCCGACTCGGCAGGCGAGCGCGAGCGTGCGCTGCTCGGCGTCATGTGCGTATATGCGTATACACTCGACCGGGTGGTGTTTCTGACATCATTATCCTTTCACTCAGATACATGCTACAAGGCTCCATCATGGGCCGGATGGTTACCTTTGCGAACCAGTACACCCTCATGCCCGAGCTCAACAAGCTCAAGACGCGGCGGGAGCAGCTCGCTGCAGAGGCTGCCGCGCTCGCGGCGCAGTCGCTGCCCTTCGGGACCAACGCCTCCACGCCGCCGATGCTGCCCTCGCCCGCGGGCACGAACAGTGCCAATTCGACGCCGAACGTGAAGCCCCAGCAGCACAGGGCCCGGAACCTCGAGCTCAGGCTCGAGTCTCGCCGCGCCCGGTAGTGCGAAAGAACCCCACCTCGCGGCGTCGATCGCGGCCGCGCACCTACAGGCGGCGCCACCGGCCACCAATCCGGTCGACGTCCCGGTTCCCGTCCAGGCGTCCTTCTTGAGCACGCTCCGTGAGCACGCGGACCAGGACCAGCGCGCGCGCGAATGCCTGATGAAGGCGCAGTGCTCACGCTCCCGACGCTCCTTCAGCACTTCCCGAAGACGTTCTCGCGCGTGGTGCATACCACGCTCTCCGCTGCGGACGAGCACGAGCCGGACATCGATGACGACGATGGCGAGCTTTACTGGCCCGGGCAGGCGATCACCGGCGAGGGATTGGCTGGGTGTGTCTCATGGGCAAGGTGATGTCGTGCCAAGCTAGCGTTGCGCTGAACGATGACCGCCGGCGTAGGGACCATGTGTCGACGTGCAACGACGAGCGCGCATCAGACTGCACCCCCAACCGGAGTCAGCACGGTCACGGTCGATATCGCTCGCAGTGCCCGCCGCCGGCTCACTCGAACATCGCCGACACACCAGCAAATCAGGCGAAGCCGGCGTCGCACCAAACGACGACCGCCGGTGGGGTCAGCACGGGCGCGCGGTCGTTATCGCTCGCAGTGCTCGCCGCCGGCTCACTCGAACATCGCCGACACACCAGAAAATCACGCGAAGCCGGCGTCGCGCCGAACGACGACCGCCGGCGTAGGCACCGTGTGCCAACGCGCAAGTGCGCCTGGCACGTCCGGCTGCCGCCCGCACAAAATCATCGCAGGCACAGCCGATGACACTGGCCTATGTTACTAGATAGTTTTCGTATGTTGAATAGAAGCTTTACATCGTAAATATCAAGACAATAAACTAATCTTTTCCGTCTCCGTGCGCATGGAGGTGTTCATTGGATGTCATAGGCTGGGGAAGATCCACTTCGAAGGGATGATCACCGCCAACTTGTATGTCCCCTCCAATATCACCCATTGCGCCCATGTGTGGCATCATGGCATTGGCAGCACCAAAACCGCCTCCACCATTCATCATTCCTACGCCCTGGAGATTCTGCATGACACCGCCGTTCATCATCATTCCGCCGAAGTTCTGCGGACCTCCTCTCCCATTCATATCGCCCATAAACATGGTCATCATGTTACACGCCATGGTCATCATGTTATTCATCATACCCACCTGTGCCGATCGAGCCTCTTGTTCTCGTTCAGCGATACGTTGATCACTTTCAGCCTTTGCACGCTTTGCCTCGAGTTTCTTTGTCTGAAGCTCGAGACGCTTGAGCTGGAGTTGCGACTTGAGGGCTCTGCGCTCCCGATCATCCTCCAGGTCTGCTTGGTGGAGTTCTGCAAAGGCATCGCTTGCGCTTCGCTTGCCCTGAGCTGATGGTGGGACTTTGACGTCCTTCGGTTGATTCTTCAAGGGAGTGCTTGACTGGAAAGCGTCCGTGAGCTTGCTCTTGCCTTTCGACGGCTTTGGTGGTGGTGATGAAGCTCGGGGCTTGATATCTGGGACGATCTCGGGGGGTACAGGTGCATCAAGGAGTACACGGTCATCACCATTGTCGGCACCTGCGGGCGCTATGTTGTCCTTGATGCCGAGTTCCTCGTCCGAGTCGGGCAGGGTATCGGGCCAATCAACGCTACCCTCTCTGAGTCTCTCCTCCTCCTCCTCAATACCACTTCCCGCACTTGCACTCTGACGGCGTGCCGCATTGAACAGGTCCTCGGCTTCGTCGTCAAAATTTTGTCCCGCTCTGGAGCTTGTAACTCCCACCGGCCGGTAGTTCGGTAGCTCCGACCACATGGCGTGAAGATCATCCCAGAATATCCATTCCTCCCGGATCTGCTCTATGGTGCAGGTTAGCATTCCTAGGACTCAAGGAACATACCACTGAACATACGAAGTAGATTGGCAGCCTCTGTCTCATCAAGCTTGACACCCGTACCGGTCCCCTCTAAGTCTCGAACATATGCCTGATATGTCTTCTTCAAGCTGCAGGGCGTGGCATTAGGCATATCCAAATAAGGTAAGTATGACCCGTACCGTTGGAATTGCTGCTGTGTTGACCGGGCATACCGTGCGGGATCCTTGGCGTAGTCTTCACAGAGCTCTGCTCTTGCCTCGCCCGCAAAGATCGGGTCACGGAATACTGCCTCTGCAAGCTCCGCAAACATGATAGACTTGGCTGTATGTGATTGAACTCTCTGGCGCTTCTGCTTCTTGGCCTCACTCGTGGAGTCACTGAATATCTTGATGCGGAACTTTGGGTTTGCACTGAGGTATGCGATACAGGCCTGTGTGTACTCCGGATGTTTATCCCAGAGGATAGGGGGAGGTTTGCTCTCCCCCGAGCCCTCCACTGGAGCCTTCTTGGTGCCCTTCGTACGCTTGGGTGGCATAATAGGTAGATAGATATGTACAAGTTGTGCGATAACACTCGGGGGACGGGCATCAGTCTGACGGGTCTGACTCAGCTACTGGTAGCACGTGGAAGCGAAAAGCAGACTGAAAATCGGAACGAAAACGGTGCAGAAGCAGCGTTGACCGCGCTTTTCCATACTTGCAAAACGGAGCGAAAACGAGCACAGGTGTTGTACGGCCGATTATTGCCGAAGTCAAAAGCGAAGACCAAAATCTCACAAAAATCGGTGGAAAGCGGTCCGAAAATCTGTTCGTGAAACACCCTAATGGGTTGCGGCAGGAGATATCGTCGGAATTTTGCGGATTGGCCCGTGACCGGGAAAGTTGGCACTCGACCAGTCTGACGCGCTCGTCCTTCCTTCCTCGACGCTTCGCTCCCTGCCATGACCGCGCCAAGGCTCGCCCGCATCCTCGCCAGGAGTAAGCTTACAGTGATACTGGTCGCGACTCCCGCTGACTATCGGCTAGACTTCCACGTCTCCGCGCGCCGCCATGAACTCGCCAAGTTCGCGATGCCCGCCATGAGCCCTACCATGACGGAAGGCGGCATCGCCAACTGGAAGAAGAAGGAGGGCGAGTCCTTTGCTGCGGGAGATGTACTCCTTGAGATTGTGCGCCTTGCGGTCTTCATGCCGCTGCCACGACGCTGACACGTCGACACGCTTGCAGGAAACCGACAAGGCGACGATCGATGTCGAGGCTCAGGATGATGGCATTCTGGCCAAGATAATAGTACGTCCGCGCGCTGCTCTTCTCTTCAATGGCTAGAGCGGTCTTCTTCGATAGAAACCAGACGGTTCCAAGGGTATCGCGGTTGGCTCGCCCATCGCCATCCTCGCCGAGGAGGGCGATGATCTTTCCGGCGCTGAGGCGCTCGCCTCTGAGCCAGCCTCCCAACCTGCCAAGAAACCTGAGCCCCAGGCTGACAAGGGCTCGGAACCGTCAAAAGCCTCAGATGAATCCAAACCTGCGCAGCCCGACAGTCAGGCCGACCATCAGGTCAAGTCACCTCTGCCCACACTCCCTCAAGGCGAACGCATCTTTGCCTCGCCCATCGCGAAGAAGATTGCGCTCGAGCGTGGCATACCCTTGGCTAAAGTCAAAGGCACTGGTCCCGACGGTCGCATTATCCGGGAAGACGTCGAAAATTACAAACCAGAGGGAGCCACGACCGCTACGACCTCCACTCCTCAACCCCACGCGTCCTTGCCCGACTATGAAGATATTCCGGTCACCAACATGCGTCGAACCATCGGCACGCGTTTGACTCAGTCAAAGCAGGACGTGCCCCATTATTATCTTACTGTGGACATTAACATGGACAAGGTTCTCAAGCTCCGTCAGGTCTTCAACAAGGCTCTGTCAGAGAAGGAGGGTGGCGCCAAGCTGAGCGTTAACGATTTCATTGTGAAGGCGGTTGGCTGCGCGTTGGCGGATGTACCGGAGGCAAACTCCGCGTGGTTGGGCGAAACCATCCGCATGTATGTTCCTATCGTTCTGGTTTTGTATATGACTATTCAACCTCATGCTACCACAGGTACAAGAAAGCCGATATCTCCGTCGCCGTCGCAACTCCCAATGGCCTCATCACGCCTATCATCAAAGACGTTGGGTCGAAGGGTCTTGCATCCATCTCTGCTGAAGCTAAGTCATTGGCCAAGAAAGCGCGGGACGGCAAGTTGCAACCTCAGGAATACCAAGGAGGAACTTTCACCATTTCCAACCTCGGCATGTACGACATTTCCCACTTCACGGCTATCATCAACCCGCCGCAGTCCTGCATCCTCGCTGTTGGTTCGACCTCACCGACCTTGGTACCTGCGCCGGAGGAGGAGCGTGGCTTCAAGACCGTAAACATCATGAAGGTCACTCTCAGTTCTGATCACCGGACGGTGGATGGTGCGGTCGGAGCACGTTGGCTCTCAGCTTTCAAAGGTTACTTGGAAAACCCTTTAACATTTATGCTCTGAGCGGCGTAGAACCCTACTCGTGTGGGAGGAAGTTTTGGTGGACGGTTGACCACTCCGTATACTATATTCTCGCAATGTGTCAGGGCTGCGTTTGCCCGTCTATAGACTTTTACTAATTTCCGACCTCTCATGATGCAAGCGGATTGTCCGGTGGCTGTGTCCAGGTGTAGAACGTCAACTTGAATATCAGATCCTTCGTTTTCTCGTTTCGAGCTGACAACACCCACTTTGCGATGCCGAGCCAGCTTGGAAAGATCTCACCCCTCAAGAGACCGGGTTCGTATCTTGGAAGTCAACTGTTTTGCCTCTCAAAGTCTGACAAGCAATCAAAGATCGCCCTTACTTCGCGCTTGGGCTCGAAGGTTCCGCGAACAAACTAGGCGCAGGGATTATCAGACACGGGACGGACGGGACGACTGAGGTACTCTCTAACGTCAGGCATACTTACGTTACCCCGCCCGGAGAAGGCTTTCAGCCCAGAGATACCGCTTTGCATCATCGAGAGTGGGCATTGAGAGTGATCAACGATGCCATCACGAAAGGAGGCGTGTCCTTGCATGACTTAGATTGTATTTGTTACACCAAAGGCATGACAAGTATATCCTGGGCGCCATATCCCAATTGACACAGCGATTCAGGACCGGGTATGGGCGCACCGTTACAATCTGTCGCTTTGTTTGCACGCACGCTCTCTTTACTGTTCAATAAGCCCTTGGTCGGAGTGAACCATTGCATTGGACGTAAGACTAATTGACCATCAGAGCGTTAGAGTCTGACCTGTGACCGGCTAGATATCGAGATGGGTCGCGAAATCACCGGTGCCCAAAACCCGGTAGTGCTGTATGTATCCGGGGGAAATACGCAAGTGATCGCGTACTCGAGACAATGTTACCGTATTTTCGGAGAGACTCTCGATATTGCTGTGGGCAACTGTCTAGATCGATTTGCACGGGTGATCAACCTCAGCAATGATCCTGCACCTGGGTATAATATTGAGCAGGAAGCTAAGAAGTTGGTCAATCTCCGGTATTCAATGACACAGTAGGCTGACATGTATTTTCAGAGGCAAGCGCTTGCTACCTCTTCCTTACGCTACCAAGGGCATGGATATCAGTCTCTCTGGAATCTTGACCGCTACGGAAGCATATACGAAGGACAAGCGGTTCCGACCTAATGGATCTTCTGAAGGCGAAGATGACGACATTATAAGACCCGCCGATCTTTGCTTCTCGTTGCAGGAGACGGTCTACGCGATGCTCGTCGAGATCACCGAGCGAGCGATGGCCCACATCGGCAGCAAAGAGGTCTTGATCGTAGGAGGCGTAGGATGTACGTTTACTCCTGCACGTGGTGCTAGCGATGTCTGACTGCGAACCCCAAGGCAATGAGCGATTACAACAGATGATGGGCATTATGGCGAGCGAGCGTGGCGGCCAGGTTTTCGCCACGGACGAAAGGTGAGTTTGTCCGCCGTACCTACCATACATTATTTAATCACCGCGTGGGCTTAGATTCTGCATTGACAACGGTATCATGATTGCGCAAGCTGGCCTCTTGAGTTATCGCATGGGCAACACGACGCCACTCGCTAAAAGTACCTGCACGCAAAGGTACGCCGAATCCTTCAGAGTCCCTTGATCAACGCATTTGACACGCCTGTAGATTCCGTACTGATCAGGTTCACGTCGCTTGGCGCGCATAGTTAGATAGCATAACGATAGCCACACCTTTCGCGTTCGCCAGGCAATCAATCTCGCACCACGCTCTGCTCTAACATTCGCCATCCAGAGGGATCGGACCTTCGTATCTCCTCAGCCAATGCATCAAACTGCTTCCACCACCATTCATTTAGAATCTGGTACTCGTCGCCCGTTTGTCGCCCATGCCATGGTTTAGTATGGAGTATATAGTGCAAGCATCGCACCTCATCATCTCTCCATAGCGATGCGTGGATGACACGCAGTGTCTTCAGAGCATTATAGCAGTACGGCAACGGTTTCCATCGTCCCTTGAAAAATGCCGCTAAAAGATCTTGATCTGGGAAAGTGAAAAACGGCACATCGGGCGAGGTAGCGAGGTAATGTTGCATGGATTTGAACAGGTCCTCAGATGGGTTGAGCACGACACATCCGGAGTTCAGAAGACCATAGGGCCGAGGAGAATCTTCCAGTATTTGAGGAGGGTTCTTCAATCCCTCAGGATGTTTGACAGAACTATATGCGCAGTTCTCTGGTGTCCTGCATGCTTGTTAGCAGGCGACGCACGTTGCAGTCTGTTGATAATTTACCAGTCCGGGGGGTAGTGAGCGAATTTACGGGGGTTGCAAGCGCAGGCATGCGCAGCCGCTATCCAGTCTGCGGGAAGCTCCAGGTCCATGAGTTCGTCCATGTTCCTCAGGATGAGCATGTCCGAATCCAGAAGGACTACTCGCTGTGCCCCGAGGATGTTCATCGAGAATCCTAATGCAAGAGCAAGGGGTCGCCAACGTACATCGTATTCTGTAAGCTCGAATGCTCTTCCGAGGTCATCATCAACATGGTTTCAAGTTTGAATCGGAAAATCAGAGCTACCTCAGTTTTGTCCACGTATCCGAAAATCTGATGTCCGCCGCCGACAAAGTATGCACTCCATCCTGGGGCTTCATGGGCTGTATCTCTCGCGTGCGGATGTTGCGCCTATGAAGTAGTTCCTTGATATCTACGGCTAGGGACGGTGTGGTCATCACCACCAATGGGTATGCGGCCTTCACTTCTCGCAGACTGTGGTCCAGAACCAGAGTTCCGGCCAGATAATCCAATTTCGTGAGCAACGTGACGAATGCGGCTCTGGGAGTCATGGTGCAGATACCAGTCAAAGCGGTCGCAAACACGAGAGTGGGTGATACGAAGCTGTCGGTGCAGGACGGTCGTCGTACATGAACAATCCTAGGTTGAAGGCCGGCACATTGATGAATGGATCTCGGTAACCGTACGCATCAGTGTGAGTAAGAAAGAGATGCCGCATGGGCAAAATCATGCGGTACATCAGCTTCACGCTCTCTATCCGCAAGGTATTTGTGCATCACGTTCCACAAATGAGACCTCATAATTCTACCAAATATTGGGAGTCATGCCATGTATATCATATCGTGCGAGAGTACAAGAGCGAGGAAAGCATGAAAGGACTAGGTCAAAGTTCTTCACCGCAGACGGCTACGAGATACACGTGTGAGATAGATTGGGAATAAGTGGAAAAACGGTACGCACCGGGCCTCGCGCTCAGACTCGAGCAGAGCAAGTATGTCACGCTCCCTCACAGGGCCCTTGACATTGCGGATGATGGTGCGGCTCGTGTCGTCCATGAATTCAACGCGCACTTGGGTAACGCCTCCGCGTGAGCCAGTGCGGCCAAGAACCTGAAAACGGTCCCAACAGTGAGCAGGTACATCCCATAACCTCGCGAATGCCGAGCAAGACCTTGATGACGGTGGCAAGCTTGACAGGGGCCTTGGAGGATTCCTGAAAGAAGAGTCAGTGGTATGTATCGAGGTTTTTTGGCCATGAGCTGCACCATTTTCTGGGTGACGTGAAATCCGATGTCAGGAGCGACTTTTGTGAGGGAGATGGGGAGGGTGGGAGGACAAAATAAGGTTTGGCGCACAGTTCCTCATTCCAGCCCCGCTCGGCTTTGGCCGAAAAACACAGTTCATTGATCAGTGAATCTGATGGGGAGACGCACGGCACGTGAGCCAATCAGTGCTGTGGCTGATAAAAGAGTCACCGTCGATCGAGGCCGTTTTCTTCGACTCATATGCGGTGCTTCGCGGTCGTATCTCTTAATGCACCTCTCCGCGAATCGAGTATCTACTTCCTATCCTTGGGACCTTGCGCACAGTCAAATAGTGATTAGAAGCTTGCACGTACAATCAGAGCTGCACAAACCCTAGGACGTCAACCCAATCAGCTTACTGCTGCGCCCCGAACGGCATATTCGCGTAGAGTACATAAGGTCGCCCACCTGGGTGGTGCTCCGAGCTAGACGGCGTGTCAGACGTAGGACGCAGTGCCTTGGTCTATCTCCGTGATGGCCAAGAAGAAGAAGACGGCGTTGAAACCGGTTGCCAGAGGGTTCGCTACAACCTCCGTACCGAAGAAGGTTGTTCAGGAGCAAGCACCTGAGGCCGAGGAGTCCTCAGCCGAACCTACACTAGAAAGTGGTGTCAGCACACATGGTACGGCATCAGCTGCCGTGAAACCTGATGTGGTGGATGGGCTTGACCCGGTGAAGGCGGAGGAGCAGTCGCTACAGAACTTGGTTGACAAGTTTCAGGAGAAGACGGAAAAGGAGATAGTTCGTACGGTGAAGGTAACTGAACTCGGTCTGGTTCACTGGAGCCCACCACTAAACCTATGGGTAGGTCATCGAACAGGAACATCGATTCGCGATGGAATTCCCTTTGCTGGATTTGGATCCCACCCATGTTCAGCGTATCTTTGAGTTGGCCGCCATATCAGAAGAGAGTGAGCTTGACACCATGCAACTTCCTATTCAGGTCGATGCTAATGCTGCAGCTAGGTCTAGGCAAGAAAACTGTGGAAGGATCGGAAGAAACAGCCGTTGCCCGCCTTGGCGTCACCTATGGAGTCTTACGCCGGCTCAATTTCAGCGAGGAGAGAGTTCAAGAATGCCTGAGATCTATCGACAGCGTTGATCTCGATGACGCATACGATTGGGTATGGCGGGTTCCTTGGTTGCGGGCAACACTAACTCGTGAGATTAGCTGTATATGCATTGCGAGGAGGAGGAGTTGCTCCAGGATAGAGGTATGCATACCACCTTCTTATAAGCTGTCATGGACTCTAAGGCTCATGGACAGGAGTGACTGATTCGATCCTCAAAACACCAAGAACTCCCAGAACCCCCATGACACCGCGCACCCCTCACCACGAGCGAATGCCCTCTGCATCCGCGCGAGCAGCACGGAAATTCCTGGCGCTACCTGAGACCAGCCCCTCAAAGAACGTCACCGCTGGCCAGCCACCATCGCCAATGCTCACATCCACGAAGCCACCTTCGCGTCTCAGCCCTCTGGCCCCTGCATACGTACCTAAAGCTCAGCTGAACACAAACTGGCCCGAAGCCGGGGCGATGCTTCTATCGACAATGGTTCAGGACACAGAGGAGGATACAAGACCGTCGACACCCTTTTCCGTCGGGGTGGCGACCTCGTCGTCGATTTCTCTCGATTCCCTCCCTCCAGGCGATTTACCGGTAGAAGACGAACGAAGCATGGTCAAAGCTCGCATATTGGCTTCCTACGGTCGGAACACGACAGGCGCAGATGCGTTGGCCTCCCATTCGCATTCTTCGCATGGGTCACCTGAACCCGATGACCCGCATTTGGAGTATGTCACACTCAAACTACAACTAGATGAATTGACGACGGATCGTCGACAAGCTCGTGAAACCCGCGGGGACGATGTGATACAAGCCCTGCGTAACAAGCTAAACGAAATGAGGAATCGCTACTTCTTCGATGAACGGGATGCAGAAGTCTTATATCAGCAAGAACGTAGAAGACTCGATTCTGTAGCTTTAGAGGCACGGTTGCGCAGCTCTGAGGAGGCTACTCAACCTTCACCTCTGCAAATCCATAGTATTCCGTCGGCCACCCTTAATGATGAACCAAAGGCTTCACCCGTCAAGCACCGCCCGCCGCACCTTTTGTCCACGCCCGCGACGACCAAGGAAAATGTAGTTGATGTCTTTGACGAGCAATGCGACGAGGCCGGCGGTCTTCTGGAGATTCTCGAGGAACCGAAACCTGAAGTGACGAATGAAGGCATTACTGTCCGCGTGCGCGACATGGCGCTCCCGAAGCATTTCTCAGGCCGTACACCCAAGGTGCTACTGGCGGAGACCGTGAAGAAGCTGGATCGATACGCTGCCGTCACGTACTCCTGTATTTCTGGTTATAGCCGAGCCGTCAGAGCGTCAGTCAGCATCCGCGGTGACATCGTCAAGGGAGGAGATTGGAACATGCAGGACGTAGCTTGTCATGATCAAGGTCAAGCCGAACAATATGTTGCAACTATCGCTCTGCATGCTCTCAGCTTCCCCGTCTCGGAAGGATTCGCTGTCGGAAACACTGCTTCCGCCAACACGCAGACATCCTTCAGAGTACTACCGCCTATCTACCGAGATCTATGGGACGAACTCGAAGTGGAGAGGAAAGCAAGAAATGACGCCACTAACAGATCAATATGGGCCAAACTCAGGGACATCGTGGCTCCTAAACTAGAAAAGTCTACCAAGGTCAGTTATATTGAACATCTCCTATCGCAAGCTATCGATTGCCGCCACTGTAGCCCGTGGAACGGATCGTCAAAACCGAAACTGCGAGGTACCAAGGAGGAGCCCGGAGAGTGATGGGCACAGCTAGTGATCTCTCGTCTGATGAGATTAGGGCTGGCTTCCAAGCACGACAATCCAGTCCTGCGTACCAAAGCATGCTGGTGCGTTTCACGACAATGACTGGACTTGCGTGTTTTTATGCTGTCCGACAGGCCCAGCGCCACCAGTTGCCGATCGCGCAATACCGACAAGAGATACTGAACACTTTGGATTCTTCCCAGGTTCTCGTGCTCAGCGGGGAAACAGGGTGGTGAGCCTTATGTCGTTCCCATCCACCCATCCGTTCGATCAAGCCTTCACAGCGGGAAGTCAACGCAAGTTCCGTCATTCATACTTGAAGATCAGTTATCGCAGGGCAAGCATTGTAAGATATACTGCACGGAACCACGCCGTATCTCGGCTATATCTCTCGCTCAACGCGTATCCGGGGAGCTGGGTGACCCTCCAGGTTCTGTCGGATGTGTCGGTTCCCTGGTGGGATACTCTATACGGCTTGAGAGCAACACCTCTAAAACGACCCGTCTGGCATTCGTTACGTACGGAATCGCATTACGCATGCTGGAGAGCGGCAGTGGCGAAGGAGGGCAGGGCACAGCATTCGACGAAATCACAGTAAGCCTGTCCGAATTTGCGACGTACCGAACTCTGATCGCGGCTCTTAAAGCATATCGTGATCGACGAAGTACATTTTTACATGCATGCAATGGGGCACACGGACTCATAGTCGTGCAGGTTCACGAGAGGAGCATCGAATCGGATTTCCTGCTTATTGTCCTGAGGTCTTTACTCCAACAGAGGGCAGATTTGAAGTGAGGGCGAAAAGTCGTATCGCCTTCAGCTTGCTCATTGGCATGAGTTTCAGGGTCATCCTTATGTCTGCCACAGTGGACGCGGAAAAGATATCTGATTACTTCGGGGGGTGTCCCGTTGTCAAGGTGCCTGGGCGCACCTTCCCTGTCGACACGAGGTATCTGGAGGATGCGATACAGTTCACTGGCTGGGCCATTTCTGAGAATTCACCGTATGCGAGACGATGTGCGTCGTTCACCGTCACTGACTCTCCCTGACGCGTATGAAAACTGGACGATAGTACATGACAAGTTTTATCGTGGCAAGAACCGGCCAGAATGGTCGGAGGAGACTGCTCTCGGTGATTCTGACGAAGATACTGCCGTCCAAGAGAATATCAAGCTCGAGAAACGCTACTCAGACAGTACCGCAGCAACAATCAACCTTCTCGATGAACGGTTGATTCCGTATGATCTGATTATGCGACTCATTGAACGCATTTGCTTCGAAGATCCGGACTATAGTTTTTATTCCAGTGCCATTCTCAGTAAGATTTCAAGTTAGTCTGTTGCCTGGCTAGATCTCAACGATCCAACGTAGTATTCATGCCTGGCTTGGCTGAAATCCGTCGTTTAAACGACATGCTCTCAGCGCACAGACAGTTTGGAGGCGCAGAATTTGTCATTTATCCCTTACATTCCACAATCTCCAGCGAAAATCAGAACGCTGTATTCAACGTTCCGCCATCAGGCATTAGGAAGATAGTCATCGGTAACGAATTTCCCTTGCTTCATGTGACTGGGCTATAACCAGACGTGCTAGCAACGAACATCGCCGAGACGGGTATCACGATCCCAGACATTACTTGTGTCATCGATACGGGAAAGCACCGAGAGATGAGGTACTTACCCGCGCTTGCTTTCGCATTTCCATATTGACTATCACTCAGGTTCGACGAGAAGCGCCAAATTAGTCACCTCGTCGAGGCTTTCATCGCGAAGAGCAACGCTGCACAGAGGCGTGGCCGTGCTGGGCGCGTGCAACATGGACTCTGCTTCCACCTGTTCACCAAAGTGAAGCATGACACCATGGTGAGATAGCGCTTCGAAGATGGAACATTATCCTCACCGCTGTTCTAGATGGTGGAACATCCATTGCCAGAGATGATGCGCCTGAGTCTGTCAGATCTCGCCCTTCGCATCAAAATCATGAAGGTCAACCTTGGATCTTCAATTGAAAATGTTTTGATCAGAGCGCTCGACCCGCCGTCGTCGATAAACATTCAGCGAGCTATATCCGCGCTGGTCGAGGTGAGTAGCAAAGGACTCTCACCGAAGTACTAAATTTAACGCTTGTCGGGCACATCAGGTTCGCGCGTTAACGCCGACTGAAGAGATCACCCCTATGGGGCGTCTCTTGAGCAAGTTGCCAACTGACGTTCATCTCGGGAAGTTCCTACTTGTCGCCACCCTTTTCCGATGCCTGGATCCTGCTCTAACCATCGCCGCTGCTCTGAATTCCAAATCGCCCTTCTTGACACCCTTTGGCCACGAAGATGAGGCAGAAGCGAGGAAGAACGTATTTCGCATCGGTGAGTCACAACCTGTATCCGAAGGTCCGGGCTACTCACAGACATGCAACAGAAAACTCGGACTTCCTTACACTTCACAATGTATTCTCTAGTTGGCGTCGCGTGAGCATGGGTCCTGGTTCGGCGCACAAATTTTGTCGCCAGAACTTCCTCAGCCATCAGGTGTGTTACATACACTCTTTGTTAGGTGAATCAACCGCGTTGACCATTGGTACAGAACTTGCAGCAAATCGAGGAACTTCGTCAACAGTTTTTGGGGTACGCTAATGATACATATCGCCGTTCGTGTGCTAAACACTCAAGCACCTCAGTTACCTGATCGATTCTTCCTTTGTGCAAGTCTCCAGAACATTCATCAGAGAGCTTAACCGGTTAGTGCGGGGTTACATCCACTGAGGATCCAGCCTTATTAACGCCGCGCAGAGCTCGGTATGGTCGAAACAAGGCCCGTTTTGTTACGATACCACCGGAACTTGATGCGAACTCTGGCAATATTGCGATAATTAATGCAGCACTAGCCGCTGGGCTTTATCCCAAGATTCTCTCCATCGACGGAAAGGCTCAAATGCGTACAATCACGAATGAAAAGGCTGCTTCATTCCATCCCTCATCGGTCAATTTTGGACGCAAGCCAACGGACTTTGGCGTCAACTATCTGTCGTACTTCACGTTGATGTCCGTGCGGCGCTTTCATAACGTTAAACTGCGCTGATGCTAGTTATAGGCAATCAAAGAAATTATATGCTTGGGAGACAGGTCCAGCCGATGATGTCGCACTACTGCTCTTATGTGGAGATCCAGATTTCAAGGTAATCTTACACCACGTTGCAACATCTTTCCTGGTACTCACCGGGGGCTGTCTCAGCTCATATCTGATTCAGTCATCGTCGATCGCAAGATACGATATAGAATCCCTCCGAAAACGCACATCGCATTGAAACACCTGCGGCATCAGCTCAACGCATCTCTAGCCTTACAGTTCCGTGGGCAGCCTCTGACGGAAAGCCAGGTTCTCTGGAGTCAGATGGCCGAAAATGTCTTAGGAAAGATCAAGATCAAGGAAGACGGTGAAAGTGATGGCATCAGTCGCTCTATCGTGGTAGTCAACAATTCGCGGTAAACGGTCGACGTCGGCATTCAGGAATAAGGTAGAAACACGCTCCACGCTGTACCGAGCCATCGTGGTAATAGAGTGCCTTGTTTAACTCAACACTCCCGATCCTGTTCATAATGAAGAGCTTCCGGACCATGAATAGATGCAAAAGATAGTCCAAAACATACGAAGGTGTTATACTGAAGCAACTACAAGGAGAACAAACAAGATGATCTAGCATTACATGTGACAATGCCACCATTATACAATGATACGTTATATGCATGAAGGTTACTACTGAGGGTCCTGTCCGTTCCGTCATCATGAATTTGCAAGCGGGGTATTGGTTCCCCCAGTATCCCTCTTCCTTCTCGTGCCAGGTTTCGGTCCTGGCTTGCGCCTCGGCGCATTCGGATCACGCTTCTGCCCGCGTTTCCGACCCTTTGTGGGGACCGCTCCGGTATCCTCGACAACCGACTCCAGAGCAGCCCCCACCTCCTGAGCACCCTTCTGATTACTGAAAAATTCGTCGCCCTCATCATTCCAGATATCATTAACCGCGTTGGCCCCTGCATCCGCTGGTTGCTTGCCCAAGTTCCTGGCGGACCTCTTCGCGGAAGATTCTAGGTTTGCCAGTTGATCGTCGTTGAGTAATAACGAGACGATGTCGCTAGGTTTGGTGACGTCGGTGAGATTCTTGTTACCAACCACGATATCTTGGACCTGCGTGCAACGTGTAAGGGATTTTCAACAGATCAGGACAGGACTTGGCGTACATCTTTCTTCACACGGGCCAGCTGCACGATGCGCTCGTCTATAGTGCCTTTGGTGATTAAACGGTATACAGTCACTTGGCGAGTCTGCCCTAGTCGATGAGCACGATCCATAGCCTGCGCATCGTTCGAGGGGTTCCAATCGTGATCGTAGAATATCACCGTGTCAGCGGCCGTGAGGTTGATACCCAACCCGCCCGCGCGCGTGCTGAGAAGGAAGACGAATATATCCGGCCTTGACAGAATAAGCGCCGGCACACTCCATAATACCGGACCGATATACCTTGTTTGCCATTCAATGACCATATCCCGCCTGTCTTCTAGTTTGGACGAGCCGTCTAATCGGAGATATTTGTGCTGCCGGAAAACCAGGTACTCTTCCATCAGGTCAAGCATCCGTGTCATCTGGGAGTAAATGAGCACGCGATGGTCTCCAGCCTTCAGCTCTTGGAGTAGTGAATCCAAGCGGGCCAATTTCGCTGAGTCGTAGATCAATCGCTTGGCATCAGGAACTTGCATGACCGACATCGGGAGTTGGTCATCTCCAGATGACGCAAGCAGACCAGTGACCGGGGCTCCGGGTAGCAATTCTTGATAAATTTCTGTTGCGTTCTCGGAGTTCACGAGCGTAGGAGGGAGTCCGTACAGTGCCAATGAAGCCAAGGGCGCATCAAGCACGCGTGACTGGTGTTCCAGGAAAGAGCGATCGGTGCAGTGAACGGATATCGGAGGTGCTACAGCTGGAGGCACATAGAGCCTCATGATAGCACGAGATAAAGGTGACTCGTTCCAGATAGTCGTAGATATCCGTCGTAACGCTGGAAAACCTTCTAGAAGAACATCGTTGAGAAGGGGAGTGAAGTGGCCTGCTTCCAGGATATCGGAACAGGTGGATTCCCTAAAACGCAGCGTCAATATTGATTGAACATAGTGATTCACCAAATACGTACAACCAGGATGTGTCTTGCGCCTGCTCCGCACGCTCGATAGTGGCGGACAGATGTCGACGTATGAGTGGCGAAACACAGATCTTATGGACTTCCCCTGGTGAAGTGTTGAGCAGGCGAAGGAAGGCAAAAGAGGAATCATCTATAGGCAGTTCAGCGATGTACGTAAGTCAGAAAGCATCAAGCATACTGTCTGCAACCAGGGAGTGATATATGCGCTCCGTATCCCATATATTCATCAGGCGATGAAGGGACCCCCTCTGGAAGTGCGGATGGGAATCCTCAGCTGGAATGCCGACTAAACCGCCTTCGCGGTAGAATAGATTGGGTAATTTGTACTCGATGGGATTGCGCGTTGAGTAAGCGAGGTGAACGAAATCGCCGTCGCGGTTCAACGGTCCTGACCGACCAAATTCGGCGAACGAAAAAGGGGCTATGACGTCGGCACGCTCGAAAAGCTCGGGGTGGTTGCAGACCTAAGTTGCGATTAGAGAATTGTCGGGTACCATGATAACCTACACGTACTTTGCGGAACTGCATGACAAGGTTCATGAGAGATCGAGCGGAGTCGGGATCACCTATGTTTGCCGCACGTTCCAGCAATTCCGTGACGGAGACATTGGACAGGAGCGCTCTGTACAGCGATCGTTGCCTTGCGCTGAGGTCCACGTAAATATCCTTCTCGATCTTGACCGACATTATTAGTGTACGATCTCCTGATGCCGGGATACAGATACCTTTTCGCTGAGCTCATTCTGGACATGTCGCTTGACTCGACGCAACATGAAAGGTTTGAGAATCATATGTAAACGACGCAGTTGATGTTCGCTGAGTCTACTCCCTTTGCCTTCTGCTGCGCCCTCGATGTCCTTCGAGAACCATTCGTTAAACTCATCATGTGAATCGAATAGACTAGGCATGATGAAGTGGAGAAGCGCCCATAGCTCTGCGCCGGTTAATACAAACGTTTCAAGACACAACATAAATCGAAGCCTGCTCACCCTGCATGGAGTTTTGAATGGGTGTTCCAGTAAGCAAAAGGCGATTGCGGCAGTTCATGCCAAGAAGGGTCTTCCATCGTACACTAGCGGAGTTCTTGATGTTTTGAGCTTCATCAAGAATCATGTATTGCCACTTCAATCGCTGGAAGTACTGCTGATCTTGGGTGATCTGCAGTACTATCAGAAAAAGTTAACTCGACCCAACACGCGATTACATACCAACTGGTAGCTAGTGATAAGCACGTGAAAGGGTGCGTCCTTGTCATAGCTGATATCCTTCTTGCTCCAAACCTTGCGTAGCGTGGCACGGTCTTTCACTGTGCCCCAGTAAGGCAGGGCTTTAAGATTCGGCACGAATCGAGTGAGTTCCTGCTGCCAGTTGTGCAACGTCGACGCCGGTGATACGACCAAGAATGGTCCCCAAATGTCGTGTTTCTCTGCGAGGTAAGCCAAGAGAGAAATGGACTGTACAGTCTGTATGCCACAGTCAGTCAGGTTTGTTGTTATGAATCAGAATATAGTTTACCTTGCCCAGACCTAGAATACGCAAGTGTGAGCGAGTCTGTTGCAAGGGCAAGAGGAAGGCGCGCACCCATCTCATCGGCCAGAATGCCGTTGATTCCCTGCTCGTATAACGTCGCAAGCCAGTTGAGACCCTTGAGCTGATACTCTTTAAGCTGCGCCATGAGCATTGCAGGTTGTTGTATGGTCAATTCCCCTAGAGACGTGGGATTTTGGAAGTTGAGCTCGTCGGAATCCACTGCGAACACATTTCAATACAGTGCCTTCCGAATATGTGAGGAGCACTGACGATCAACAAGCGGTGTGGCTGATGTCGTAGCAGCTCCCGAAGCCGACGGTGACTCCGAGTCCTCACGGACATGTGCCTGGCCTTTCGCCAACTTGAGTGCCTGGTTGGTCTTCCGCTCCAAAGCAGCCTGAGAATCAAACTGCTGTGCCTTGGCCTTGGCCAGCGCAAGAGCTTCTTGCGCATTGCGGCTGGCGTGATTGTACAGGTTTGTTTCGTCATCTGCGAGCCAAATCAGTCCAAGAATACGCGCAATGCCGTGTTCCGTACCGTCATCGAAGTCGATTTCCTTCAGCGAGCCACTTGGAGTGCGCAGATAGTCAGCGCCCGGTGGTGCATTGGCCGCCAAAGCATCTTCTCCCTCAATTTCGGCAGCTGAGCACTTATGAGTGAAATGTAAGCACCAGATGTAGGTCAACGCGCACTCTTGAGCTTGCTCCCAACAAAGTGGCTGTAGAGCTCCGTTTGGCTGATCAAGAACTCCAGTTTCCTGGCCTGTCTCGCAGCCTCTCGTTTCTCTTCTTCCATTTTCTGCCGGTCAAGGTCTTCCTTAAGCTGCCGTTTACGCCAGTCGCGTTCCTCCTTCTCATTCTTCTTCCATGAGATTAGCATTTCGCGCATGAGTCGCTTGCCTCGGCTCTGTACGTCCTTGGCGTTCCTGGGTGTCTTCGTGAAGGGCCGACGAGCCTGGATGGAAGCCAGAGTCGCAAGCCGTTTATGTTGTGCCTGCCGTGCTTGATAACCCAACGCGTGATACCGGTAGACCTGCAACAATATGATGATGGGTGTGCATATGATCGGCAGCCACTCAACTGAGCTCACCTTGACAACGTCCTTTCTCGCGATGGTAAGCCATACCTTCCGCTGAGACTCTTCGAGGGCCTTGACTCGCTTCAATAAGGTGGCGTGATCGGCCTTCCTCGCCTTTTTCATAGCCGGAATAGGTTCATCGAGCTCCAGAAGAGTGGATGCCGTGAGTGCAGGTGACGCAGGCCCGGACGCAGACGGTGTCCCACCACGCGATGCGGAGGTCGACGCGGAGGGTTCCATGAGCCCATCTTGCGTATGTGGTGGAAACGTCTTTTTCTTCTTGCCTCGGTGGCCCCTGGGCGTAGAAGTAGCACTATCCACACTTCGTTGGTCGGCAGGTATTTGCTTATTCTTGCCCTTGCCCATGGCAGAGATGGAAGGAGCGTGGCCAGGTAGGTACGGTTGATCGTACGGTGTAAGCTGGTCTGCGGCGCGCTCAAGCTCGGCGGCAATGTCCTCTCCACTAACGCCCAGCCTTCGTCGCTTGCGAGAGTGCGACTTGCGAACGGGAACCTCCAGATCACTACCGCTGTCGGAAAAGGGTCCAGCAGCGGGTCTCTTTGCGCCTACTGGCAGCCCCCCACGACCGAGCGCGAAATCTTCCAACGCCCGAGCAGCATCCTCGGCGCTGTTGAAATCATCTTGCGAGTGCGCATGGCGATGCGAAGATTGATCCCATTCGTCGCCGTCAAGAGACTCGAACTCGTCCACAGATACCACTGAGGGTGAGCGTTCGTGAATGGCGGAGTGCCGATTGTCGGCCGGGACGACCAAAGGGTACATAGGAATAGGCGGCGGAGGAGGCATGGTTGCTAACCGTGAGGCGTAATGCTGGGACATCATGCGAGCAATCTCATTGTTACGTTCCTAATGTGATGAACATTCAGCCCAGCGGAGATGTACTTTGAGCAGGATAACTCACCACGCAACTGATTTCGAACCAGGTTCCGACCTGCTTCTGCCGCTTTCGTGTTTCAACCATGTAATCGGCGAGTTCGCCCAGCCAAACCTCCTCGCAGTCATCCAGATCGGATGACGCGAGTCTTCGCTCTTCCTCAGTAGGAATATAAGGCTCGGGGGTGAGCTGCCTTGCATGTCCTGGAGGTGAGGGAGGTCGCTGTTGCTGCTTGGTTTTTGACGACGTCCGCCTTGACGACTTCCCGTGAACGTTGTGAGCGGGCCGTGCATCTTGGCAAGTAACATGCACTTACGCGTCTGGTCGCTGGCTGGTAGTCTTCATCGTCCTGCGTCGCCTTTTTCTTCCTCCTGCCAGAGGTGTCGCCATTTTTCCTTCCGCCATAGGACTCCTCCTCCGTGTTGTCGTCGTCTTCGGGAGGGGGCTGCCCCGGGCCTCGTTGTCGATAGTAGTTCCCGCCTTGTCCAAGCGGAAACATGTTCCCTTGCACATGCTCTCCCGAGTATGGATCATAGCCACCGGCGCCTTCGTATAGCGGGGGTTGGTATGCGGCTCCTCGGGGCACGGGCGGATGCTCGTTAAGAGGGCGCGGGGGAGACCGGCGAGGCGATATCGTCGCGCGCCTCGGCCGCGAGCTGCTGATCGCTGGGGCATCGGCCGTCGTCGGAGGCGGCTTCGGCGGCGAAAACGCGGGGGTAGGTGGCTCCGAGTCGTTGTTCAAGATCCTGCTGAGAGACATGGCGGGCCGCTCGACGACTTGCTTGACTGGCCGGCCGGTGTCGGGGGCGGAACGAGGCGCTCGCCCGGGCAATATCAAGCAACGTTCGACGGTCTAGCGGGGTTGCGGGGAGAGACTGCGGAGGCGCTGTTCAGTGGGTAGTGACGTCGGGAGCGGGCGCGGAGGTCGTGCTCGTCGTCGTGGGCGACGGCGAGGACGACGGTGGGCGTGGTGGTTAGGTGGCAAAGGCCTTTTTTGAGTTGAGCTTGATGCGGGCCCGGCCCTGAGTGACGCGGCATCGCTTTTTGGCCCGAGCGAACTTCGCCTGGAACTCGACGTGCTCGAGCTGCCATGTCCAAAAAAGGAAACCAACAGCTTCTCGAGGTGGGAGAACCAACGGACGAGTCCTCTGCCGCCGTGCAACATCTCTC